TCTTAACTGACTGTGAGTTTTACAAACTTTTTCAAATCTGAGCGAAGTCTGACAGGTCTGCCAGAACTGATAAATGATAATAACCTGTACTTTCACATGAACACAATGCCATTGAGCTGCTTCCTCTCTCAAAAAGATTTCTTTTGGCAGACTGTGACATTAAAGACAAAGAATACTGTCTGTAGGCAACTGAAAAGCAAATGAAGCACACTGTGCTGTACTTCCAGTTTAAAAACAGATTGAATAACCTTAATGCTAAGTTAAGTAAAAGCTAAAGTTGAAATTCAACCTCACCCTAACATTGCCTTGACATGCTATATCATGTTATTTAGGGACTTTTGCCTAATCTAAGCAAGAGCGGCAGTAAAGTGCTCCTCTAAAGAAACCTCACTGCTGTGTATATCTAGTTTTTCTACCTCATTTATTGCAATGTCACATTTGGACTGTCAAGAATGCACCAAGGTTAAAAGATTAGCTAAATATGGCAATTTGATTTACAGAAGAATAAGCTCTATTGATCTCAAAATTGACTCTGGATGACTTTGCTTTTTGTTTACATCATATAAAAGCTATGAATATGTTTAAGTGTACAAGGCTACATTAAAAATAATCACAGGTATTTTTAAGCCCTTGTGAGACAGCAGAACACATACATCCTTATAAACGCTGGACTAAGATGTCACAGCTGGTGACTTTGTTATTTGACATTCAAATTAAAGGTGTTCCTATTGATAAATATGTCTTCTATTTGTAAGGGGTGTGATTTATTCAAATCTGCTCATCATACACTGACAAGCATTACATCATGGTAATGTGACGAAACAGCATAGACCATCAATGTGACATCCAGTGTTGGCTAGTAACGTGTAATTAGTAACACCGTTACGTAACGCTGTTACTTTATTCAGTAACTAATAATGTAACGCGTTGTTTTTTTAAATTCGTTAACTCCATTTCCGTTACCGAACGCTGTGTTACTTCGTTCTTTTTGGTGAGGTTTTACAATTATACACAGTTCCTATAACATTTTTGCAATCATTAAAGTTTAAAGGGGACCTGCCATCAAAAATGTAATTTTGTGTGTTTTTGTGTCAGATTAGGTCCATATTATGTTCGTCTTACGTTGTAAATGTGAAAACAAACCGTTACGTCGTTTGCATTCTGTAAAGGTTTAAACTAAAGAAACGGGTAAACCAGGCCAATTGAAAAAGCAGGTCCTTTTGATGTCACGCTGACCTTGCTCATTATTATTCACGAGCACGTCCTCGGTGAGCCGCGCCCACTCTCTCGTTCTCGTACTGAATCACTCTCCAGCCAGAGCAACACCCAGCTACCACTGTATCTGCTATGGGTGTCTTCCAAACGACCGGTGTTTCCTTGGGTTCACTGCCGGGAAAATGAACTTAAAGCTGGGCAGAATGAATGAGAAAACACCGCTGGAGATCTCCGGCTTCTTCTTCAACTTCCACCTCCTCTTCAGACTCGGGGTCTAAAATGTATGGTTTAATACCTGCCATTTTTAGCCTTTAGCATAAGGTGACCAGACGTCTCTGATTTCCGGGGACAGTCCTCGAATTGGATGACCTGTCCCCGGCAAAAGCTGTCCCCGAAAATGTCCCAGATTTAAGCGTTTCATGGATGAGAGCAAAAATGTTGCGTGTGGGCTCGAACAACGGTTATTACAGTAGCCAAATGGGTAGGAAGCACAAGTAAGCAGTCCTGAACAACAGTTCTTACGGGGGTTATTCCAAGGGGCATGCGCTGCTACTAAATAGTACCGAGATGTTGTCTGTGATCACGCAGACCCTTCAGCCGCCTCCGCACCGAATATCCCCAGATATCATTACAGACATCTGGGCACCTTACTTTAGCAAACATTAGCAAAATGGATAAACCGAAATCCGAACCTCCACTGCTGAGCCAATCAGAGCACAGCAGGCTTCACAAAGTTCAAATATTTGAACTTTGGGAGCGACTATCCGCGACTCCGTGCCGCGACAGCCAATCAGGGCTCTGCTGACGTCAACAAACCGGCGAAGCAAGGAGGAGGAGAAGAAGAATCACAATGGAGGAGCAGTTTATCACTGCCATGAGTTATCACCAGGGGTCCGTTTCACGTAGGTGGTTCAACAAACTCTGAGTTAAATCCTTAACTCTGAGTTGATCTACTCTGAGTTAGGAAACTCTGAGTTTCCGGTTTCACAACACCTGATTTGAGACGGTTTTAACAACTCCGAGTAGTTTGACCTGGACTTAAGCACGTGCACGCCAGACATAAACAGCCAGCATCTGTGGAGCGCAGATTCAATGATCAACCAATGGAAACAGGGAGAAGGAGGGGGCAGCAGCAAGCCAACAGCGAATTACAGCACGTTTGTAAAAGAAAGTGCAATACAGCAGCAGCTGCAAAGGAGAGGGAGAGGGCTTGGGAGGAAATCGCTGCTCGCGTCAATGCGTAACTTTAAATCTAGTCTCGTGCAATCACAATGACAGACTGTTGCAGGGAAACTGCTTGAATCATTTTGATCATGTTTTACATTGTCAAGTAAGTATTAAGTGGCAGTTTGATCCCTTAGAAAATGTTCTTTTCACACTCAAAAATGAATTTTACTCTCTTATTATGTTCCGTTAAATGAAAATGCCGATGTCTCACCTGAAACTCTGGGTTTACTGAGTTAAACCTGCTCCCGAGCAGGTTAGGTTCACGGAGTCTGTTACTGTGGTAACTGACCGCGAGGTTGAGTTACCTCTCTTTGTGAAACAGGTTAGAGTTACCCCTCTCTCTCTGGTTTAACTAACCCTCCTTTGTGAAACGGAAAACTCAGAGTTTCCCTGATTTCAGGGTTAACAAACTCAGAGTTTCCATTAAACCTGCTACGTGAAACGGACCCCCGGTCCTGTACGACGTGGGGTGCGCGTTTTATCAAGACCGCACCTCCAAGGAGGAGGCATGGGCGAAGGTGGCCCATGATTTCGGGCTTTTTGGTCGTTTATTTATTTCAGTGAGCAGACTATTTTCTGAAAACATAGCAAACTTCCCCTGTTTGCTAGGCTACATGTTTCAACGTGTGTGTGTGTGTGCTGCAAGCGCTGGAAGGGGCTGCGGGATGTATATATGAGGGAGAAAAGGAGGGAGGAGGAAGGTGGGAGAAGCGGGTTGGCAACCAGCCGCGACCTGCGACTGCAGCTTTGGACCTGCTGTGAACACACCAGGGCGCCACGCGACGTGACCGACCAACGCGACGCGACCTGGTCGCGTTTGGTCTGAACACCCCTTAAGAGCCCAATGGTAAACATTTTGGTGCTAGTGTCAAGGTTTGTGTTGGTGCATAACAGATCTTATTGCTTGGATGATTAGATTCAGTGATGTGGATGTAAATGAATTTAAACGGTTGTGTTAATCAACAGTTTGTTTTATTCAGCATCAGTACAGAACTGAAATGAAGTTTAGAGGGGAACTTAATCAATCCACCTTTATGTAAAGGAAGCATTGGAAGAACGTTTGACAGTGACTAAAAAGTTACTCTCTCAGAAACGCATTACTTTTTGGTTTAAGTAACTGAGTTACAAACTGAGTTGCTTTTTTTTTACAAAGTAACTAGTAATGGTAACTCGTAACTATTTTCCAGCACAACACTAGTGACATTAAACAATATTAGAGGCTGCAGATAAGCAGCTATCATGTGGATGAGCAGAGTATTTATTTTTGTTTATCAGGAAAATAAGCGTCCAAAAGGACCTTTGGTTTACAGCACCCTGGTTCTTCAAAGTATCCTCCCCAATTCCTGATTTATCCCAGTGTTTTTGTGAGTCATTCTCATTCAAACTGGGCCATTTCCCAGTTCTGATCCAACCACAAGCAATCATGAAAACCCACATTGTGTTGTGTGTTGGTCCAGAATTGTGGCAGAACTTGGGAAACACTCCAGTCCGTGCAGACAAGGCAGGCTTGTTAGCACAACTTAGGCCTGTCCATCCATCTCTTCACAGGCCTCACTACAGGCTGAGCAGATTTTAATTTTTTCCTGTAGGTCAGGATGTGATAAAGACAGTGATCAGACAGCCCTGAAACTGCACAGAGGACAGAGTGATAAGCACCCTTTTAGACTGTATAACAGTTGCCCAGAGTCTTAGTGTCCTTGGTGGGTCCATTTAGCCACTCTCGGTTTTACAGTAAATCATGGCTGAGATTTGATAAGTTACAATACCAGAGAATGACGGGGGTCTGGGGTTTTCTACATCTGTCATCTGGTCATTTAGGTGTTGCAACACCCCCATCACCCAGCCTTAGGTAAGACGTATAAGCCTGAGAAAATCCCAAGAAGTGTCACAGTGGATAAAAAGGTTTACAGATCAGAAAAGAGTTTATCACTGAGGGCTGCATGATTTCCTCCACATGGTGACATCTGCACACCAATTTTCGTTCTATGTAGAAGCAGGTCGCACCTTTTCTTGTCCTCTCTGTAAGGTCTGAAATGCAGTCTGCCTGAATGCTATCCTTGGTTCTGCAAAAGTCTGCTTTTCTGGCTTCAGAGCAGTCTGAGTGTGAATTTCTCCATCAGTAATTTCTCCATCAGTAAAAGAAAGATTAAACAATAATTTAACTTATTAGTCTGCTATAGGAGATCTGAAGAGGGTGATATAGTGCAAATACCCAAAATACAGAAAGCTAAACATTTTCAAAGACCTCTTAATGTTAACTGAATTGAAGTAAGTGAAATATGAACCTGTGTATGGTCTGCTGCTTTTTGTAAGTCATACCCTAAATGTAGGTCCAAGAGAACACCTGCACTACATCCACATTACATCAGTTACGCCCCACCCTTAGGCGGCCCTATGGGGCTAACAACTATCCTCAACTTTTTACCCATCAAATTAACCAAAACACCTTCAAAAGTTTAACACGTGATTTATTGTGAAAAAACAACAAAATTGCAAACTAAACACAAAGCACCCACAACACAAATGAGAAGCAGCAGGGCATCAGTTCCACACCAAATGCCTCTGCCAAACGTTCGAACAATACAAAGAAAATATCGGGGTCCTTCTCATTAAATTTTGGAACCAATCTTAAGTTCACAGCAACATCAAATTGTGGAGTAGGAGGAACAAACATGGCTGATTCTTGGGCCTCAGGAGTCTGAAGTTTTCCTTGACTCATAAGCTCCAACTTATATCGCTCCAACTCGACCTGCTGTGTGGCCTGAGAATGGGCCATTTCAGCTTCTCTGAGTCGGACATCCTGTCTCAATTTCTCCAACTCCAATACCTGCCTCTGTTCATGCTGCAACTGAAGCAATAGGAGTTCTTTTTGCTGCTCAAAAGACAACCCAGCCCCAAACCCAGCCAAAGCAGGTGGGATACTAGGCACTTTCCCTAATAAACTAGGACCAGGAACAGCTGCATTAGAAACACTGTCCATTTTCACAGGGTCCTCCTCACTCTCTACCCGCACAGCCAAAATATTTTCTTCCACAAGGTGCGCCCTTAATGAGACAAGCAAGTCCTTTTTATTTAATCCTTTTGCAATCTCAACACCATAATGCTCAGCTATCTGCAAAAGCTGCTCCTTTTTATACGTGTTAAGCAACTCTTCACTAGGAGACAGAACAAAATTCTCAATTGAAGCCATCTTATTTGTCATCTATTATTTAGAGGCAGTAATTATATTAACCTGTGCTCTCATACAGCCTAACACACCAGAGAGGACAAGGCACAAAACAAAGTTTCTCACACTGCTAATGAGATGTAAGGCTGTTTAAACATGGGACCACCTTCCTCTAGCTAACTGCCTAACCAGTACTAACTGTCTCACTCACCCCTAGTCTTCATGCAGGTTAGCGGCGGGATAGATTAAGCACCAAGCCCAGTAACCCGGTTGACTCTTAGCGAGCTAACAGCCACCTAGACAGTCATGGAGTGCCCCCGAGCATAAGCTCTAACCACTTTGCTGCACAAAAATAACAAACTAAAACAAAAAAGGGTCAATGTGGACATCTGGTGTCCCTCATTGCTAAAACCTGACAGGAATATGGGTTCCCAAATGACGACACAGCCTTCACCCACCAGCAGATTAGAAACAAACACCTCAACAGGCCATCAAACTACAAACAGACTAGGCCAGTAACTGTGTGAAACACCTCCCTTACAAACTGAACCTGGTTTCTCAGCCCTAACTTCTCCTGAGAAATAAAACCAGGATCCCGGACGAGCCCCCATTTGTTACTGCCTGGCTCAAGGCAGATAACAAGGAGGGAGGCCACACACAACAATAACCATTAACCAAGATCTTTTATTTAACAAAAAATGATAATCAATCTGTATGAGGCATCAGGATTAAGATCAGTAGTGTCAGCAAATGTTGGATGTGTGAGCATGTGTGTGGTGGATGTTGTTCGATGATCAAACCCAAAAGGTGGTGGCTGGTGTGTAGATGCAGGCCCTGCTGAGAGAGAGCTACAGCATTTCAGCCAGGCCTTTTATGCTCTCTGGCCCTGCCCTGTTGGGCAGGTAACTCAGCCCCTCCTAGCTCCGCCCTCCACCATCTCCCTGAGGCTGCAACACAGAGCAGAATCAGACACATGCAAGGGGAGAAAGCAGGGGAGGAGCAGGAGGGGTTGTCACAAATGACACATCCTTGGAGTTTTTCTGAGGGAGATCTCAAGGAGAAAGGTTTTGGCTGACCCCCTCTATCACCTGTAAAAGCTGATTTTTCATTTTCTTCAGCCTAATAAATGGGGACATTAACAAGCCGTAGTTGTAAAAGGTTGAGACATCATGTCATGCCAGGCCTCTAAATTTAGTGTTGTTCTAGGTCATTGTTTAAACACATAAAATATGTTGGGTGATGTCAGCCCAGAGGCCTGCTATATGGGATGACCATCATTACCTCACTTGAGCGGGGTCAGTACGGCTGGGTTTCTTTCTTCAGAATAAATTAAACAACCAACTTCCCTCCTGTAGGCCTCTGTGCTCTGGATCCTGGCTCTTGTGTTTGCTTTTCTTTGACTCTCCCCTTCATAGGACTTATCCTCCTCTTCTACCTCTGTATTTCCCTTAATTGAGACTGTATATTATTCTGACATTCATGACCAACCATTGTATTATCTGTGATAATTACAGTTCAGATGAATCCAGGCATTGAAAACACCAACAAATTTGGATTATCTCATCTCTCTCAGCAGGGGTATTAGTTCTCCAATGTCCTCACAATATGAGAAGCTACACGAACTATATACTCAGTGAAAATCTGCATTTTCTCTTATTATACCATCTGTTAAGAAGAACTTCTGCTGCAATAAGGTCTGACACTGACTTTTACAACTTCATTCCTCTGCTAGTTTTAAGCAGCTCATCCTTAAAAACTAGCAAATACTTACAGACTAAGAGTGAATTGTTTTTATATTGAAGGACTGAAACCCATTTGCAGCAAAGACCTGGAAAGAATTTTAGAGAGGGAAGCTCAAATACTGCTTCAATGAGCGTCCTGCAAATTTCTAAGTTGTATTTGGGGGGAATCTTACAAATCACCACCATTTCATCATTACTCTGTCATTTTACAGCTTTAAATAAATGGGCAGCTTATAAGGAAATGAGGTATTTCCTGCAACATTTCAAGTTAGAGCCGTATGCAATGACCTCATTGCTTCGGTAAGTGTTACAGGTATCCTGGGAAGATAATATTATAATAATAGTTGTGAGCAGTTTACAGCCAGATTCTAGGATTATTATAAAATACATTTACCTTGCAATCTGAAATTTGCATCTGTTAAGAATGGACACCTAACCTTGCACCTTTATATTAATATATATATATTTATCTATCAATATTTTAAAAATGGAAAAGTACAATGCCCCCTCTTTAAAAGAGCAATCAGAAAGAAAAATCGATATTTGCAAATCTCATTTTAGCTCTAATTTTAACAATACCTCCACATACAACAAACATACACATTTTTCTTCCTCCTTGTTTTCTTGTTGAATTTTCTGTGGCGTTGCTATGACAACATTTCTTGGAGAGAAATACATACCTTCATTTTAGTATGATTTCTACAGCATAGTTTTCACCTTTGAGACGTCCATGCTCCCAAACTCAGTCAAGACTGTAGTTCGACTCACAAGGGAAGAGGAGGTTGTCCCTCTAAGCGAAGCAAGACAAAGCATACAGACACAAACATTATTTAAAAAGTCCTGTCTATGTGTGTCTGTTCAGTCTTGTCTTGCCAAAAGGGACAGACAGTCAAAGTTGCCCATAGCTCACTAAGTTTTATTTTCTCAGCAGCACCAACAAAGCAGAGCATAGATAGAATTTAACTTCAGCCAAGAAAGACCTGTGGCAAAACAATAAGACAGGGAGCTGTCGAACCAGGAGTAAGAAGCAAGCAACAACTATGTGGTATCACTTTTGAATCTCTGGTAAACTTTTTTAACAGTTATGAAACACTGTATGAGTCAAAGAGGTCCAATTTAACGAGTAAATTATTTTACCTTTATTAATAATTCATTTCCTACAAAACACGCTGCATCAGAGAACCTTATTCTTTCCTGGATCGAATGCCACAACCATGCTTTATTAATGTAAGGGGAATGAACAAATTCATTTATTGCTTTGTCATAATCATGATGTTGTGCTTTGGTTGGGACTTGTACACTAAGTGTTGGCCTTAAACTCTACAAAATAGGTGTATGCTCAGGCAAGTGTAAGAATAGAGACGGTTTTGTGGAGATTGTGGTGATGGTGAAGTCATGAATAATGTTAAGTAAACTGGTGGTTATCAAACTACAGTCCCAAAAGGGTAAGCAGGGCTCCACTGCAAAGTGAAGGGGCCGTCTCTTCCTTAGCACATTTACATGAATGGTTAAGTCAAGCTACTGTTAAAGTTTAATTAGGTGATCTCACTGGATTACTGTCCTTGTCCCAGTATATATACACTGGAGAAGACTGGAATTATCAACTGAAATATGTCCTCCTCTGCTATGGTGGGTGGCATCCTTTCTTCATCTGTCTAGGTTTTGTTTACTACCTCACTTTCTAGTAATGCATTCGTGCTATTTAACTTCATAGCCTGGCGTGCAAACACAAGAACATGCACAGAACGCTTAGGCCAGTTTCAGCTCGATTGAGCAGCATACATGACCCAACCTCATTATCCAGATGTGTTCTGACTATGAGAAATTTGATTTAGTGCATAAACAGTCTAACATGTTCATATGTTTTTAGAAGTCCAGTTTCAGCTGGACTTTGGCAATACTGATTTTTTTAAACAAACCATAAATGTGCTGCTTGATCCCACTTATTATCTGTGTATATCCTGGGTCTCATCTTGTCCCACTAATTACCCTGCTATAAAATAAACACATAAACAAACTGACTTGAGATAATGATTTGAAGGTGGTTTCATCAATAAAAAAATAATTAAGTGATTAGAGTCTGTTCAGCCATCTTGCAGAACAAATTAATTAACATCAAATTAATTAACATTAACATCAAAATGAAGATTTCCATTCACAGTCAAGTTAAAACATGAATCTAATTAAACTGACCGTTTATGCTGACATTGCCCAGATTGCAGGACATAATCTTACTCCATTTTCCCAATCGGAGATGGTTTGCATCCAGCATCTGTGCACAGTAGAAGTCGTTATTTTCAGACTGTCAAGACTAGTCTTAGATGGAAATTTCCATTTTTGCCACTTTGTTCACCTTTTTTTCTGCCACAACAGGGAGCAGGTAAAATTTACAAAACTTTATTCTGCAAAATGATTGGATTTGATATGTGTGATCAGGCTGCTTTTGCTCTTGAGACCTTTGTACAAGGTTTGACCAATCAGAAATATGGCCGTACCACAACCAGGTCATAAATATTAGTTAAATGTATTTACATTTTTCTCAGTTTAAAGCAACAACACAATCCCCAATTCTAAACGTAAAAGCACTTGAACTGCGTGCTGCACATCTCCTCAAGCAGTCACGAGATAGGGCCCATGTTGTATAGTGAAAGAGGGTGTAAATGGACAACAAATACGCTTCAGTGCCAAAGAAGCATTTCCCCAAAAAAATTCTGGCACCAAGATTTTACAACCTGTTAAGTATTTTAAATAAAATATCACCTAATTATTTTTGTCATATACAATATGTCTGGGGCATTATGCCCCTATCAAAACTTATTTTCTGCTTTATTGAAATCATTTTAGAAGACTGTAGCTGCTTGTGCATTATAAACAGTTTCTGACTGTCTCAGCCCCTTACTGTATAATAACTAGACTTCAGTTTCATTAGTGTGTAACCTGTTTGTGTTGTTTGTGTTTTTGCTGCGACAGTTTTTATGATGCTCTCCTGGCTCACTCTTGAGAAAATGAAGATTTTAATCTCAACAAGGCTTTTACCTGATTCAATAACGCATATATCCTCAAGCCACTCTGCCATTTATACAGACGATTCAAAAAGCCTGTAACTTAATATATACAAAGATCATCTGGTTGAACTTGCAGCCGTATTATTTTGCAATAAAGCTTAGCACAAACAACCCCCACATTATTTATGAAACCACCTTTGATTATTTAATGAAACCATATTTCTCCTGAGAGCTGCTATGCTGTGCTTCAGCTTAATCAGATGTAAATTGAATGGTTGTTAAATATGAAGTTTGAAAGTCAACCATAACAGCAAACTTTTGAACTGGTTTCCATCCCATGTTGCCAATTCTTACATAATTTCATCTCGTATTGGTGCCTCAAGTCCAGTGGGGTTATGTATCTTCTGTATGTATTTGCACTTTCTTTCCAAAAGTCCTCTCTGATCATTCTCAACCTCATCATGATCAGTTGTTACCATGACAACTCTCTCATAAGGCCAATCGCCCACCTCTCTCTCTATCTCTTTTTCCCTCTCTCTTTTTCTTTTTCTAGCTGTCTCTCACTTTCTTATACTGCTATTCTTTGTTGATGTTGTTTTTGACTCCCCCTCACCCATCAGCCACCTCCATCGTCCACAGTAATTCCTCATCAGAGAATTTAATTTTCTCTCTTTAAGCCAAATTTATCTATCTTGTTCCTTCCTTTCTCAGATAGCTTCTTCTTTCTCTGCAGCACAACTACCAGCCTGCATGGTCGCAGCATCTGTCCAAGAGCCCCTCGAGCAAACACGGTTTGGCCAGTCTTTTTTCTTCACCGTGATCTTACATTATGTCCAAGCCCCCTGCCCGTAGCCTGGAGCCCTTTAGAGGACCCAGGCCCACATATGCAGCATGTGTTTGAGTCAGGAACCTTTCAGTCCTGTGGTGAACATGAGTGGCAGTTGCTGGTGACTCTGGTCAAAACACATCCTTACACAAGTTGTTACAGCTGAGGTCCAGGGGCTGCAACATCAGGGATCATGTGCAGAGTCATGGCAGCTCTCTGTCTATGAAAACTTCTGATGCCCGTACTCGATTTTTATACATTGTGCTCAGAGGCAGACCTGTATTGTTAGATTTTGTCCTAAATTCCATTTACTAATAGAAGATTTGGTGAGTTTTTGTCCTCCTACTCTCAGAACAGCCTAAAGTAGGGTCCCAAATGAGTTAAAAAAATTAATTCCCCAGCATGCAAATTCTTTTCTGAACAATTATGTTAATTTTTTTCTCCCATTTTTATTTATGATTACGTTCCCCCCCCAAAGCAGTTAAAGCTAGTCATTGGTGGGAAAAATGACAGCTCCTGTGGGAGAACCCAGGAAGATTTATTCCCCAACTCTGCAGTTTGCCTTAGCTTAAGCTAGCAATTTTCACATCAGTCTTTTGATTATCTAGAAGCTTTAATCTTTAAGTTTACCCTCAAAACCATTACTGACCATAGCACACAATTGTTTTATGTGAAAGGACTTATTCCTATTCTACACTACCAGCCCAGCACATGACAGAGAAAAACACAGTTAGCAGAAAGCTGGTGGACACAGGGAAGCATTCAGCAGCTAAAAAGAGAGTTGTTTCTCTCAGGTGTTGATGGACAATGACCAGAGAGTAGATTTTAAATGAATGTTTGCCTAGTAGCCAAAAAAGTAAGGCTGCATTCACAAAATGCTAAAGTACCCAAGCTCAGTTTGCTGCCTCCAAGTAGCCAAATAAACTGAACCAAGCTAACACACCAACTCACTTACTACTTTTTTCAAGTTATTTTAGCCCTTTAAAGAGCAAAAGCACAAGGTGAGGACAAATTTGGCAAATATGACAAATCTGTTAGGTATTTGATAATATACTTACCAGCAGTCCCAAAATGACCCACAGACACATTTTCTGAATCACTATTTTATGACAGGTGTGTGCCAATTCAAGCTAGGTTTCTATGAAGGGTCCAGCCTCGTTAGGTTAAGTTTAAATGAGACACTCTAGATACAGAGGATTTCCTGTTAGCCAGTCCCCAGCTAGATGGTTAACGAGCTAACATGCTTAACCACCATGAGCATCATTTTAAAGATTGTTTCAAGTTTAAAAATGTGTCTTTTTTAGCATTTGTATGGATCACCAACCTTTTAGGTTGGAGGCAAACATGCTTTCTAAAACCTGTGTTCAACCAAGTAGCAGCAAAGTCTGGCGTCTTTAAATTTTTGCAATTTTTGCTCTACTTTCTCACATTTTTATCGGATTTTGTCAGCTGCTGATGGATTTTTCTGTTGGGAGAAGAGTTTGTTCAAGAGAAGAGCTTCTTTCATTGAGACAGAGCAAATCCGTACAACAACATCTAATTCCTGCAAAAATCAGGAAGTGTTTTTGTGGTTGCCGTGCTTGTGTAAAGGTGAGGGCAAAGCTGAAGGCTAGGAAATGGAGATACAAACCCTTTCTTCCATCAGTCATCATAGGAGACATCAACTCTCTGCCCAACAAAAGCGATGAGCTGGAGATATTGGTGAAGACTGAGAAATCATACCATGAGTGCAGTTTCCTGTGGTTTACTGAAACCTGGTTGAATCAAGACAACTTGGACTCCAGTGTGGCTCTACCTGGTTTCACTCTCATAAGATCAGACAGAGATGCTCAAGTTAGTGGCAAGAAGAAAGGAGGAGGTCTGGCTTTATTTGTCAATCAGAAATGGTGTAACCCTTCATACATAACTGCCGAGGAGAAGTTGTGTTCAGATCTTGAACTGTTGGCAGTTGTTCTTCTGCCATATTATGTTCCAAGAGAATTCAGTCATATCATAACAATACTTGTTTACATCCCACCCAAGACAACAGCTGAAATTCCATGCGAACTTTGGCATAATACTGTTGTTAGGATACAGACTCAACACCCTGAGGCACTAATAATAATTATTTAAGGAGACTTCAACCATGTCACCCTCTCCTCTCACCTGACTGGATTCACACAGTTTGTGAACTGTCCTACCAGAGAAAACAAACCCTGGATCTGCTGTATGCCAACATCAAAGACGCTTACAGAGCCACTGCCTTACCACCACTGGACAAGTCAGATCATAACTTGGTTTATCTGAGATCCCAGACAAATGAAATTTCCTTTGGGGATAAGTAAAGTTCTTGTATTATAATTCAACACTGTATCAGACTACATGACGGTTAGGGAGTTCACCATCTAATTTGAAATTGTGCTTATAGATTCATGGGATATGTTCGGCTGCAATGGGTGAACCTGATTTGTCCCTTTCATCTTAGGGAAACCTCATCCCATGACTCTTTGTTAATGCCATGCTAAATTACAGACACAAAAGACTGTTACCTTGTTTTTTTTATAGACATTAACATGAGTTTTTGGTTGCCAAGTCTACACTACAGTAAATTCTAGTTGAGGTTTTACTCTGCTCTTTAGTGCAGAGCAGACAGCTTACAATGGACTGCTTCAGTTTCAGTGAAGAGAGCTTCCTGCTGTAGCAGTAAACAACACCCTGAGAGCCATTGTGAGCAATTTAGCTGGACTTAAGCTCTTTACAAAGCTCTGATAAGTTGAGGAGAGCTGCTTATTCAGGTAATATCCTAGTGTAGGTTTATCACTCCACGTTAACCTGTTCCTGCAGAAACCTAGGTTACAGCTGCTCTTTTTACATTAGCTTCACTACAGAAAACTGCTGATCTTAAAGAAAAGGTGTGCATTTCTTTGGTTCAATAAAAGTGAACCCCTCAGAATAGGTAGAGTTTCTTAAGTGAGAACATTTTTGTCTCGGAGATTGATTTTGTCAAAGTGATGAATATTTGGGGGCTGCAAACGTCACTCTGCGTGGTAGGAGACACGAGTGACTCGCTGTAGGGTACAATACAGGTTGGTGAAGTTCATTCCAGTCACCCACTTTGTCCATCGTCCTCTTTCTTATACTTGATCATATTTACTGGTTCTTTATTTCTTGTGTCATAGCTCTTATGTTGGAGATGTCTCATCCTGTGTCGCAGCACCGTCAGACCCACGGAGCCAGGAGACTAATCTAATCATTTAGGGCCTGCTCCTGAGTAGTAAATAATTTTCTTGGCATATCACAAGGTTTGCAAGTGGGCATGAGTGGGCGGATGTGTGTGTCAGTCTGCCTGTGTGTGTGCATTGTGTAACTCTGCTCGCAGTGTTTATCACCACGGCTCCCTCCATCCCTGTAGGCAAGCAGCAGCCTTGGACCAATTTTTGTTCTTTCTTGTTCTACAGTGACACACTATGCTCCATATTTCATGTCACTCCGACTAAACTGCGCTGCTGTTGAGATGTCCACTTTAAAGCTTGATGCACTCTTGTATGGATTTGGCTGCCATGCCAGCAAAGCACTTTGCCTTGAGAGAGGAATTAAACCCCTGAGGTTTTTCTAAGATAGATTAAGTAGGGAGGGGGCTTGCAAAGGCTGGGCTCCTGGGAGGGGCGCTACCCAAATATAGAGAACCTGCCAAATGCCAGCGGGTGTGGGCGAGGAGGCTTGCCCCTCTGATGTGAGTGTCTGCACAAGTGGGTGGGTGTTTGAATGCATTATGAGGATTTCTAGGATGTGTGTAAAGTAGTGCATATGCCTATTCTCGTGAGTGTGCGTGAGTTATATGCATGCAGAGAAGATTACACAGCACTATGTGGAAAACTAGAACAAGAAGGAACGTTTGGTGAGCTACAAAGCAGTTCTATTGTAAAAATTCGATGTTTATTTGGCTTGCTTTGCACTCACTCATCTTTGCTTCTCAGATGTTTTTCAGTTTATCAGGGTAAGTGAAGCGGCAAAGTGAAAGATGAAGAGACAAACACAAACAGGTAATGCGTAGAAAAGGAACCTGAAATGGGAATTGAGAAAAAAAATAGTGCAGAGACGAGAGAGAGCCAGAGGAAGGTTTTGTTTGCTACGCCTCACATGTTTGGTTACTCAAGCTAATGAGCAGCAATTAGACAGCAGCCAATTAACTCTGGCCATCAGACTGAGACCGAGGGAGATGAGAAGAGGAGGAGTGGGAAAGTGAAAGAGAGAAAGAGGAAAAGTGTTGAGGAAGAAAGAAGGGGGAGGGGGGTAAATGACCTGGGAATCACAGTGCTCTTATCTGCTAGAAATGTTCATGTGAGTGTTTGCATGCTAATGAGTTCCTTTTGTGTGTGCGTGCGTGTGTGTGTGTGTGTATCCATGCATGCACGCATGTGGGGGTGGGTGTTCCAGCAGGGGGAGCTGTGTAGGCCCATGTCACTGTAAGTGCTCTACATGACCATCTGGCTCTCACCGTTAGACTGGATTCTGAACTTAGTCTTAACCCTTTCACTGCCAACATCTCCTTCACATCCAAATGATCTAAATAAAAACTGCTGTGGACGAAGGCATAAAACTGGTGAGCATTTTTACACCAACTTGGAGAATCAGGGTCATGAATGATTGATGATGGACTGATGTTGCGCTGTATGCTTCTGAATCCTCTCAGTGCGCTGACCAGATTGTGTCTCAGCTTCAGGCTGTGGAGGGAAGAAAGCAAACGGTTAATTTCTCATTCTGACTGCTGATGCAGTGTTCCAGCTGAACCCCTTGGAGAGGCTCTGGCTCTATCTCACACATACACACACACACCTACAAATACACACCATACAGAAGTGCATGCCATTCTTCAGAGTAGCCTGCTGCCCCCTCTCTTTAATTAGGCTAATTGAAATGCGAGAATAACCATTTTCTTGATTGCTCGTTATTTTTGGGCAGTTTAAAATGAATCGAATGCTTCTAGATGCAGAGGCCAAAAGAGGCGGACTAAATCACTCTCCTTGTCTGACCCTGTTGCTTGATTCTAGATTAGTGCTATCCGCTGCAGACCTAGATCCAAGGGCCTTACCCCATGGCCCTTATTTGTTCGTAGTTAACCTGCTTGCTGCTGGGCATGTCCTGACTTTTTGGACTGGGGTGGCCCAACTGGGCCACAGAAGTATGCAGTATGAAGTGTATGTGCTAATTCACATACATCTGAATATTATATAGTTGCCCTTTCACTAATCACATCTGCTACTACAGCTTACATCAAGGTATCAGATCAAAAGTAACACAAGGGATGAGAATTGATAAGATTTTATTGATATCAATGACATAATCGATTCTGCTTATCAATTCAATTCTTTAACGACTCCCTTATCAATGCCTTTCTTTGATTAAAAAAAAAGTAGACTATAGGTTTTCACAGTTAACTCAAAAATTATTGAGTCTGATAACAGAAAAAGATTTATGGCACCTTCAGTGAGAGTCAAATGACAAACTATTTGTACAGCATTTAATTTGGTCGATATTAAGTCAAATACAAACCATGTTGTTAAGTCTGGCATGCATTGTGCTTATGTTAACACAGGACATATGTACCTTCCATGCCAACAACCGGTGGAGAGCCTTGAATATATGTGACTCTTTATAGTTGATGCCTTGCCCCTGTTGACAAATGTTTAAGCATGTTGCTGGTGTTTCAGCCTTTGCATGTTACCACTGCTCGACAAATGTTGCACATCAAGCTGTTGTCGTCTTTCTTAGTAAAAAAAAGCCACACTTTAGATCGTTTCTGCTTACTTTTCGTACCGTCCGCCATGTTTTTTCCTTAAAGCCTCTGTTCTCGTTCGCTAACTGGCTCTTGCGAGACTGTTTTTCAAGGCACTCAAAAGAAAGGAATCGTTAAGATAAAATGTAATTGATGTTGGTGGATTGAACCATTTGGAACCGGTTCTCAACAAGAACCGGTTCTTGGTTCCCATCCCTATCGCAAAGTTACATTGTAGAGCATCAAATTTAGCGGTAGCACTGCAGAGTGGCAACATTTACACATATACACATTAGCGTAACTCTTACGCTACTCTACGTCATACTCTAGCGTGACTCAGAATAGGATGCCAAAATTTCAAGACCTATCAAGAGAAAATGTGCTTTATTACAATCAAGCTGATGGCAGTGTGTCGCTCTGTGGCCTAAATAGTTTATTTTGGTATCAGTTCCACCATTGCTGAGGCTAATTCTCATTGCCTAGAAGTGGCCAATCACATGTCTGATAGGGGGGACTATGCCTACCATCCCATCCCTCTAGGAACACCTCAAGTACAATAAGGGCCTATGTCCATTGAAGGCGTTTTATGCTGGTATCGCCAATAACTTTATCAGCAATGGTGATGCCTGATTACAAATACAGTTTTAATGCACTTCATGCTTTATTTTTGCTTTTATTCAAAAGGTGTTGAACAGAAAAGGTTAGCACATGTAGCCGAAATAGTTTCAGAGCATTAGCAGCAGCTCCAGACCTCAAAATTGTACCCCATCCAAAAAATTGGTACGGCCAGTTTCTCCTGCATGGACCTTCACTGATGTTGTTGACAAAGCTTATTCCAGACGTCTCATCTCTCTTGGTTTTGATTGTTCAGTGATATAAGAGATATGACATCGCTAGTGTAAAAATGCTGCCCTTGCATGTATATGTTATTAGGCAGTACAACACAAAACTGTGCAAAATGGCAAAATATGATGATAATTTCCATGTGTGATTTTTTGGGCTCTAGACTTCTCTTAGAATGACAGCATTGAGATAAACAAACGGAAATGAACCACACTGATAGCAGGTTGTAAAACCGTCTAAGTTGATTTGAATTTAAGTCTTACCTCCAGTGAGCAGACAGCCAGTCACCATCAAGGAGTATGAGATGACACCGTGTTGATCAGAGAAGGGAATTTTGCCCCTGGACATGCCCCCAATGCCCTGTTCTTCCTCTTGTTCTTCCTACATGCACCTTTAGCATTCTAGTCACTACCTGTCTTCCACATTTCTTGAGGGAGCGTCCCTCCAGCCGCTAGTTCTCTTACTGTTGTTTAAGCAATAGAACCATGTGGGATTTTCAGACATCCTTGAGACAAATTGTTAGAGACGGTTTACGCTTAAGTGCTCCTGGCAGGTCTACAGGTGGTTTGGGCAGCTTTTCCCATGTTCTAAGCTAGTCTGTAAACCCCTGAGCAGGCCCTGCTGTTGGCCCTTAGCTGTGACAGAAGCTTCCCCAGGGTCGCTCCAGCTTATGGAGATCGAGGGAGGAGAGAGACAAGGAAGCAGAGAAACAGAAGAGAGAGAGAGATGCCGGAGTACATCTGGAGTGAGAGGCTGGGGAGTAAAGTGTGTGTGTGTCTGACAGCTTGTGAAAATGTTCATATGTTTTGTGTCTCCCTGACAAGGAGGTGAGTCATTCCCTCAACACACTCCACCACACATACTAATGCACCCAACCAAGCATACACACACACACACACACACACACACACACACACACACACACACACACACACACACACACACACACAGCAAATACAGTCTCAAACACACATGACCAGTTATGATATCGACACGACTGCATGGGTGCTGCTCATCATTAGCCCTGCAGAGCCGTACCGTAACATTCACCTCATGATGTGACATTTATCATGTGTAGGCATTACACACAAACGCAGACATTTGCCTTCGAGGAGCTGTGTGATTTCCTCATTAACTTCTCCAAATGTAATGAGTCATTGAAGCAAGTTCTGTGGCGCTGTTAATTATGGCCCCTTTTCAGCAGTCCCTCGCCATGGCAACCTAAAGTTCTGCCTGTCACTGCATGAGAGATGAGGGAATAAAGACATTTTCCCATTATGCTGCCACCCCAGTGTGCATATTTCTTCATAAGACAGGCCTGCTGCAGGTGGAGCGGCTGATGTTTTAGCGCCCTCTGCTGGGAAAAGAGTAATAAATAATGATAAAGTTGTGTCTCAGGTGAGTGGTAAATTGATTAATTTCAGAATATTGCAGGAATATGTTCATACATAACAAAAGAATCATACTTTATTCTGTAAATATGTTAATATGAAAGGGCTCAAGTCTGTGTTTTTATGGTGGAATTTGTCAGAGGTATGAAATTGAACATCACAAGGCACTTAGCATACAAATGAGCTGTTTTTACTCATTGTTGTTCAAAGGAGTAAATGTTGCAAGTTTATAATAAAACCTTGTGCTGATAAATAAAAATGCCCAGAATTGAGGGTGCAAAAGTTATTTCCTCTGTTTGTTTTTCTCCGGCTAAATAACTGGAGCAGAAAAAGAAGTCACTCTCCTTCAGCTTTTCCTCTGGGCAGAAGAAAAACCTGGATGCAGATCAGGTTTCTGTGCCATCAGTTACGAGTGTCTGTGTTGTGTCTAAAGTGGCCTCCAGGTGAAGCTGCCAAATAAATTTTTTGGAGAGATTTCACATTATTCATTCTTCACTGTGTTGTTGATTTTTTATATTTTGCTATATGAATAAAGGTCAGTCTTTATAACTCCCACCCGCTGAGACAGTTGCCATTGAAGGTGAGGTTGCTGTCTCAAGATGAAAGATTTCTTTGAAGGTGAAGCAAAGTGTTTGGTGCAGCAAAGCACAGACAAAATACAGTCTGCACCTTAACTGAACATAACACTGCAGGAAACAAACACTTAGGTCCAAGACTTGGTTTGTCATTCCCCATAAATGTGCTTCAGTGCTGGTGAAAAACATGATGAAGGATGACTTGTGACAAAGGGACTTATTCCCCTTGCCAGCCAACCAGTGACTGTTGCTTTTTACTGCTTCTCTCTCTGAAGTGCATTTTCAGGTGTCTTGGGGTGTGTGTGTTCAAGGTGAATGTCTCTCAAGCTGCAGCTTCTGTCCCAATAGGTGCCAAAAGACACAATTTTGTATCCTTCATACATTTTAATCTATTTTCCTGTAAATTTTGTGACCACCATTACTCATTAAATTGGATGTTGTGATCTATAAAATCTATGAAACAAAAGTAAATGTGATACGTTCTTTTCTTACAACCCCTGAGATTTCACTTTGTGTCCATTTTGTTGCCTCCTATAGGCAAAGCAGTCTGCGCTTATTTTGTCCTCTACATGCTTGAGTTGTGATTTTTAACCATGGACTGCATATAGAACGGACACCACGAGAACAGCACCCTCTGGTGACGGGCTGCAGTACAGGTCATAAATTCCGCCTCCTCCAACAATTCCTGTGGAGCTGTGGACAAATTTAAGAAATTAATTACACAGAATATACATTTTTCTCCCACCTGCTTGCAATGTTGATATGTAGTTACTGTAAGACTTGTTAGTGCTTAAGTCCTCTTTTTTCTGTGCAGCTCCATTTTTAAAAATTAATGATTTATGTTTTCTATGATTGACATTTGATACAGCTGTTTTGAGCAGAGTGTCATCATACCACCTCCTAGTGGTTCCAGGAAGTGGAGAAAATCCCGGAAATGCCGAGAGCAATTAGGCTTCAATTTTGTACAATGACAGAGGGTGGAACCAAGTTGTCCATATTATATACAGTCTATGTTTTTACCCCAAACAATCCTATCCTGCAGACTTATGACATTGTAACAATAAAATATTTGGATGGAAATGATTAAAAATAAGCCTGTTTATTAAACTACAAAGCTGTACCCCCTCACACAGGTTCAGGGCATTAAAAGTCTTCAAACTTGTGGCTTGGCCTTAATGTGAATTTCAGGTGATTTTATGAGCATCCAAAATCTTCTCATAGGAGCTCTAATTGTGAATAAAGTTTTACGTTTTATTGATGTTACTTTAACTCTCTTGATAAATATGAAAACAACAATGGAAGTGTAGCATCTGCTCCACAAATTAAGATATACAGCGGTTTAAGATTTATTACAGAAATGAGCCTGTTTTCAGGATGCAATTTTTCTCAAACTCAGTAAGAAATTCTGTAAGCTGCAGAAAGAAGGATTGCTGGAATTTGGCTTAGACTGTCTTTGTGTGTACTTATCAGTATGCTACAAGCTAGAAAGCTGTCATTAGATGGAGAAATTCCTGCCAGGGTTACATCATTATCTCCATTACTTCTGTGGAAACACACATTCCTACATTTCCTTGTCTGCTTGTATTTACTGCAAATCTGTGTGTGTCTTTGTGTGTGTGGGTGTGTGTAGAGAGTAAGCATTATAATACAGCAGAACTTATCATTGTATTTTCTCCCTATCTGTCTCAAACATGACGCAGAGTCTGCTTGAGTGATGTAACGCTGTGTCTGACTCTGCGGTCGCGTCATCGAGATAAACAGCAGCATTTGACCTGCACACACTCCTCTTGACACAGACACAAGGCCTTCCAGATGACTGCAGAATGAGTGTATGCGTAACAGCTGACTGACAACTCTGCACATGGAATAGCATAACCACAGGCAGGACTTCAGGACTGCAGAGGATGATGGCAGAGTGACTCACAAACTGAAGCACACACAAACAACATCAACCTCTCTGTCCAAAACGCCTCACACACACAAACATACACACAGACACACACACACTCGCACACACTTGCACACAGTCACACAGATCACAGAAATCTGTGATCCAAAAATGCAATTATTTTTGTGTAACAAACTTTTATTTTCAAAAGACAAGCAGTTTGCAAAAAAGAGAATTTTGTGGGGCAAACTGACAATTAAATGCACAAAAAGGAACAAACAGAGGAGACAAAATTTTAAAACCAAAGGTACAGTCAGTGAAGGAAAAAGCAAGGCGGGCATTTTTAAGAAGTGGTTTGATTTTTTTTTTTTTTTGGTAAAGACACTTGTTATGCAGTAAAGCAACAGATGATTAGATATTACAGGAAAAGAGTTTGTTTGCTAGCACTCATCTTTAAGGAACAGTGACATGCTCAGAGATGTAACTGTATGGCCTCAAATTTATAATCTGAAGAAGAGTCTTTTAAACTCAATATTTTGATCAGTTGAAGTTTTTGAGTATCATCTAGGACCTGATTTTACCTCATTGGAAAAATTAAGATGCAAATATTCCTAAACTTAAGCCCATTTTGGTCCAAGAAATTTGAAGAATTATGTTTTTGTCTTTTGGCAAAAGCTCCTGACTTCAGTTTTTGGTTTTATTCACAAAATACATCATTACTCACCAAATGAGAATAGGGGGTAATTTTTCATTTCAATAGATATTTGTCGGTTGGCACAGTGTAATTAAAACCCTATTTACTTTGATGCTCAGAATTTATACTTTAAAGCTCATGTGAGGAGTTGTCGGTTTGTGTAAGTTTTGGTGGACAAGTGGACAAAGCAGTCTTTGACATCTTGTCCTCTACATGTTTAGGTCGAGTCTATTGCCAAAAAAAAAATCTTTTCTTGCTGATTCTTGACAATCAAACGGGCTGTTTCTTTGGCTGTTCAGCTGATAACAACCCTGCCACACCGCTGCAAGGCAGTATCATAAAAATGCATTAGTAAAAATTTTAGTCAGTTTCATAAATGTAAAATAAGTCTTCACGGAACTTTGATCCAATATAATTCCTGACAATGTCAGCTCAATGCTGTGTCAATACTGCTGAAGTACTGCTCTTTGCTTAGTTACCATAACATTCACTCATTCTTTAAAGGAGGGTGACCTAACTCACTTTTCAAAAAAAGATTATCACTTAGAAAAAACAAATCTTCTTAGTTTTGAATTCACTATAGTTCTTTGGCCTCCACAAGGTTTTAGCTAGTAGTAAACCTACAATGTCAGCTTTAACTAAAGTCAAGCTTTTTGGCACATGATTATGAGAAGTCCTACATTCTTCCTTTCTTAGCCCTCTTTTTTTTTCTTTCTTTCTTTTTTTTTTTTTACCCAATCCAGGGATTGGGGTAAAAGACTCCTCCTCAAGTGTAGCTGCTGCTGTGCTTCTAACAATGGGTGTCTTTGTTTTGGCGGTGTTGCAGTTAGCATCAGTAGCAGGAAGTGTAGATTTGAAGGCTAATTTTTATTGAAAATGCAACCCGCTACACTGATCAAAGCAAGGTAACCAACTGATGATATTGTAGCTAGAGAACCAAAACCATTAGTTAATAATACTGTGCAGAGGTCAGGGGAGCTGCTAATTCCTGGTTGATAGTAGCATCTCAAACAAAGATGACTCAATCAAGCAGCACTGAAGGTCTTGGAATGTGTGTTAATGCTGCTGAGGTAGCACTGTCCCCTTTTCCTGAAATAAAGAGATAAAGCTGATTTTCTTTTGGTATCCAATGAGCTAATTTCTACGACAGTCAAACTGTTCCTTTCAAACTAGTAGACAAGGAGAAAACAATACCTTCTCTGTATCAAGCTGACTCCATTTGTGTTGCTGTTTCTGGATAATTGCGATCACAGTATTAGCCTCACTTTTGTCTTACAATAAGGCTTTTTAAACATTTTAATAGCAACATACTGAAGTGCTAAAACAATGAAACAGCACCAAGAAAACTCTATTACAGTCCTATAATAAAGTTTCAGCTCCAATGGCTAGTTACATAACATACCGTACTAGCAATTTATAACCTTTTTAAAGCTATGTGTATTATATGGCTTAGATATACGTGGTGTATGTATACTTTTATATATTAACACATTTTATCAAAATCCTTCAAGAGATAACACAAAAACTGCATACTGCACACTCTCTCTTTCTCTCTCTCTCTCTTGGTTCAATCTTGGTCAAGCTACAGCAATGGTTTGATGTTTCAGACATTTACACTTTTTAAACTTAAAAAAAAAAAAAAAATTAAGCATGTGATCCAACATGATGTTTCTCTCTCAGTCAAAAAATATAACTACACCACCTCCACGTAGTTGGCGGGGTAAAGCCCCTCCCATCCGTCATCCTTCATCCCCCGACACCAGCCCTGATCATCCTCATCCTCCACCTTCAAAAACTCTTCACCTGCAGAGACAGAGACATCTCAATCGTTAGAAGAACATACAGAGAAAAATTAAGTTAGGTTTTCAGCCAAGGACTATTAATTAACTGTTTATTTAGGATAACGTATAACACAATTGATTATTACTGCTTCCCTCAACCTTAATAGTGCATTACAATGCTCTGTAATCATCCTGGCAGCATGTTTTGCATCCTTTAAGATTTGCAGTGCCATGCAGTTTGTTCCTGTTTTGCACCTGATTGTGAAGATAAGTCGACAGCGTCTCCAGAGCTGCACTGTGCCCTCTCTTCCTGACAAATGAGGGCGCACAGCATAGAATGGTGATGACACTCAGAGCTGTACATGTACAGACGATGAGCTGAATAGGGAGGCCAGTTAATGTAGAGTAGAGCTAAACAAACAAATAGATAAATGGGGTAGCCCATAGATAGTGGATAGTCACGGGGTAGCCTTATGTGCAGGGGTTGAGTCATATAAATTTCAGGTCTTTAGAGGTAAAATGACTGTGATGAGTAATTTTAGTTTGAATGTGACATCTCTTGTAGATAATGCAGCACATTCACCACCAACTTTTAACAGATGGTAAGGTTTCGATAGCTCAGGTGTGACTGTCAGCCTCAGCTTGTGTGAGTTCACTGTTCTTTGCGCTGGGGCTCATTTGCATTCACCCCAGATTGATGCAGAATGGCTCTGTAAACAACACTGGTGCATAGTGGTGCTATCTGCTTTGCAGCACCATTTGTGGTGCATTTAACCCTTTGCGCATGCTCTAAGGCATATGTGGTGTCTTTTTGAATCATTTCCACAGGTTTGGCAAGAGCAAAAGCGGCATGATCCTAAAGTAATTCGGGCCAAGGTTTCATTCACAAAAAAAGTCTTTGTCATCTGAAAGTGCAGCAGTTTGCAGCATCTGGCCTTGAGCAAACCACTGTCTATCATAAAGTCTGTAAAGTCTGTGGTGACTAAAAGCAGCATCACACTGTTCGAAAATTTATTCCTGACCCTCAGAAAGAAGCATGCAGCCAAACTGGAGAATGTATCATATTTCTAGTTACAAAAAACCTGCAGGCTGAAAACGCTGGTAAAGAGCAGTTGGCAGCAGCAGCAGCAGATCGATCAAAACAGTAAATCAGATGTGATGTAAAAAAAAATCTGACATCTTTATCATCCAGCTTTACCTCAGATTGCTTTTTCTGTCCTATCAGCAGTCCAAAACCAAACTAACCTATTAGACAATCACTGTGGAGTAAGAACAATATCTTCAGACAACAAGACGAGTAAACTGTCTGCAATTAAGCCAAAAAAAAAAAAAGAAAAAACATTATCAACGCAGTTTCTGATTTAACTCTAGATCAAATGAAGAACTTAATGAGGTTGGCGTAGATCTTAAAAACAGTGCAAAGATTTAGACAAGTGCTTTTTTTTACCTGCTTTGAATGAAAGCTCGTCTGTCTCCTGTCCAACATAATCATACAGAGCTCTGACTCTTACTCCTCCAATCATCACACTGTGTGAAAGAAAACAGACACAGAGAGACAGAAAAAAAGAGACAGATGGATGTTTGATCAGTGAATTGTTTTATCTTTGTAGAAAGCGAAACTTGAATCAAACATCTGTCCTTCAGGAGAAATGGACCTCTTTTCTATTATTCCTGTCTTCTCAACCATTTTCTTTGTTTCTTTTCCTTTCTTGATTTTCTTCTCTGGCGTCCATTCCTAATAAAATTAAAATTAAACATTTGAACACATGAATTAGATTTTAAAACAAAAGATTTAAAGTTGTTTCAAGTTAAATGGTTGAAGACGAGCAAAAGCTGAAGAACCTGAAAATGAGGCCAGTCGGTGGGCATTCCTGGCCCGTGTGTGTTTTTCCACCAGCGGAGGTCCTCGTGCTCATCGATGGCCATCAGTGTGTTGTGGAGCTCATCATAAACAGCCCTCACACTAAAGGAGGGGAAGAAAGATAAGACAAACCAAAATGAGGTTACTAAAAATTGTACTTGCATTTAAATTGATTCAAAGTTGGATTTCATTTGCTGTTTAAATGACATCTCATCCATTGGCCAGCGGTTGCAATTCAACTGGAGTCTTTAAAATGAATTTCCATCAGGCTGGACCACTAACTGATAACAGCAGATGACAATATCATAACCAGCTCTTTCTAATTTTCCTTCTTGTTAAACCTCTCAAATTCAATCTAAAGACAGTTGAAGACATTTTGAATTTTCAGGTTTTTGCATAAAAACACTAACTTAAGCAATTTTTTTAAAACCAAAAAGAGTTTATCACTTAAACAGATAGGGCTCTATTTTCGTGCCTCGCCGGAGACGTGCCACAGGCGTGGCGTAAGTCAGGTCCGCCACACCAACAAGGCGTTCCCATGCACAATTTGGTATTTTGGTGAGCGGCGCAGCCCGGCGTAAGTATCCCCCCTCCCTAACTTAGCTCCAACCAGCGGCGAAAATCATAGCGAAGGAGGAGAGAGGGCTTGGAGTGGGTTTAACACAGCCGAGATCTGTTTTCACCAATCACATAAGCTCCTCTCCTTGCCTTTAAATCCGCCACCGGCGAGGCGTATTACTATTTTCATGAAGTAGTCAAAGAGATCAAGAGATGTCTGAAGACAGTAATGCCACACGATGGCGACAGAAGGCAGCTCCTCAACAAGTGTCACTGTAAGCACTGCATTGGGCGTCCTCCACACTCTCTCATCTGAGCACAGATGGATTTGGTGTGTGTAATGTTGGACCCACTGGTAAGACAAACACCCTTTTCCACAAATAAAGACACTCACATAAAGTTGCATATATTCAAACCTCACGTGACAAAGGTGGGTTGTGCGCACAGATCACAACATAAACTCCAAAAATGGCATTAAAATTGGAACCATCTGTGCGTAAATGACGCATTGCGCTCCGTGGCCTGGCTCTTTCTTTCATAGATGTTGGCATATAAAATATTTGGCTACATATTTGGCTCACAAAACGGAATATTGTAATATTCTTATGTAGGCTTAAAGTAAAAAAATCATCTGATCACTGAAACAAATCATCTGTTCAGCCGCCGCAGCTGCAGCAGGACGGAGAGAGGACACGGAGACATGTCCAGGTCGAGCTGCGCGAGAAATAAGAGGAAGAGGAAGAAAGAAAAGGAGGGAGACAAATTAAATATCATGTTAACTTCATCATGTGTGTTTGTTTACTAAATATTTAATGTAATTTAATGTGGTTTCAGCTGTGTTGATTCGGTCAGGTTGTGTGTCCAAATGCGTGCCAAATGACACCTCCCCCTGCCACGCCACCACGCCCAGCTTGGCGGATCTCAGTTCGCCTCCGTGCGCCTCAGTCCACGAAAATACCAAACTGGCTGTACGCCGGGCTCCGCCAGACAAAAATACAACTGCACAGGGTCCGCCACCCTCTGCCGCCTCACCGGTGTACACGAAAATAGAGCCCTTAGTCTGCTGAGGTTGATGTAAGATCATATGGTGAATTTGTAAATGGTAAGTGTATCACCTACAGAAGGTTTAGGTTAACTCTGTCCCTCTTTGGGGAAATCTATTAGGGGAACCAGCAGGAAAGTGAGGTTATTTACAGTGTTAACTACCACATAATTTAGCTAATTGTAGGATAGTCTGACCCAAACATCCATGTTGAGGTAATTGCACATTAATTCAGATGATTTTTGGTGCAGTACTTTGCTGTCAGAAAGCCACTTTGATTTGGTACCGTTTTACAGGTTTTTTTTTTAACAAAGGACTTGAAAAGTTATTGTTTCTCTTTTACAATCAAACAATTTTTTTTTAATCTCCAGAGGGAAATTTGTTTGCCTGGAGTCTCATTTCATCTTCTTTCCAAGCAGTTGTTTCATGGAGAACATCACACAGAACTTCAGCCGTTGCTTTGTGTGGGATGTATACAAGTATTGTTATGATATGACTGAACTCCCTTGGAACATAATATGGCCAAAGAGCAATTGCCAACAGTTCAATATATGTGGTTGACAAATAAAGCCAGACCCCCTTCTCTCTTCTTGCCACTAGCTTTAGCCTTTAGCCTAACTTTTGACCAGAAGACTTAAATTCATCAAACACAGGTATAAACTTAGCCAATTAAAAAGGGTCAAGAAAATGTAAGACAGTTTTTTTTTTTACTTCATACTTTTTGGTTTTAATGTTGTCATCATCAACAATGTGATTCATTATGTTAAACTATCAGCTAATAAGGCTCAGAATGAAAAGAGTTAATAAAAGTCTTTGTACAGAACAGAGCAGCTTTATTTATTTATTCATTCATTTATTTTATTTATTTATTTATTTATTTTCAGCTTGGATCTTTTGCCTGCTGTTTTTTGGTCATTGGTAACTTTTATTCTCAAGTCTTTATTTTCCCCTCTTATCTAACTTTTACCCACATATAGCCCAGCAGGTTTCACAAAGAAATGAAGTTATCATTTTAGCTCTTATTTCCCAACAGGGTTACAGGAGATCATTTAAAAAAACACTTCTGTGCCATGTGAAGTGAAACAGCATTTAATCAGAGCTGAAGAAAGTCAAACATGGGATTTGAACACACCAAGCTCTAAAGACACATGATGAAGAACAGGCCACTGTTTGATCACTCATATTAATCTTTATCTAGCCAATACAGAAGCATCAACCTTTCCCCCATGCACTTCAGTGTGTTTCACCTCTCATTGTTGGTGATGTCCAGGTGTTTGTGGATGGACAGAAAGGCCTGTTTGAGGAAGACGATCCTCTTGCGCTCCTCATCCTGTGATTGGTCAAAGATGGACTCCATTTCCTCCATGTAACGTGGAGCGTAGCGGTTCACCTCCTCAAGAACTTTCTCATAGCGAGCACGAACCTGCAAACACATAGACACGCTTTCACACACTGCATAGGGACTTAATGGGACTTATGCACTGGCAAAGAAATAAGTAACCAGTTTAAATCCGAACTACAAACCAATTCCAACCCCAACTGTGAGAATAAGTCATATGTAAAAAGTTGCATCCATTTCTATGTCCTGCTGTTTTTCATGACACATCAGACTTTGAGGCCTGAAAACTCTTCTGTAGTTAAGAGGAATGAAGCATTAAACATTTGTTATGAGTGCTAGAGATACAAACAAGAGTGGGATCCTGCTCGATATCTGATCAAATTTCACGTCTGCCCATGAACAGATGGAACAGATGGAGACGAATCGACTGCTCCGCTCCAAAACCATGAACATCCAATGAAAATAAGATTGAGATTAAATCTGTGGCGTACTTTCTCGGCCTCCTGTTGTGCCACCTCTCTCTCCTCCTGGATCTTCTTTTGTTTGTCGATGGCAACGTCTGGGTTTCCCTGAGCATGCGCCTCTCGCTCCCTGGCCGCCTGCTCCTTCCGGCTCACTTTGTGGTATGCCCTCCTGGCTTTGTCCAGCTGTAAACAGAATTCATGCAAACTTACTTTATGAGCGCCTGTCTGTGATGTTGTATTTACTGAAACACGTGATTTAAAGGAGAAATATCTGTGCTCAAGCAGCCAAAGAGGCCCAACAATTACACCATCTGTTAAGCATTTTTAATCTTTGAATATGATCAGTACAGAGAGTGTCTCTGAATCAGTGCACTGTTAATCTGTATCATATTCCACGGGGTAAAAGAAAGACTTTTGACAAGAGAAATCACTAAAAAGTACTCTGACCTTCTTCAGACGTTTTGCCCATGGCTTCTGAGCTCGTATAAATCCTGTTTCAATGTCCTGGGACTCCTTAAATCCTCCAAATAACTTCTTATGGAAGGTGTCCTTCTGCCAGGTTCTGACCCTGTCTCCATCCTCAGACACCAGGGAGCGACAGATGGATGCATGCAAGGAGGCCAGCCGGTCAGCAGAAGACAGAAAACACTGCCAAGCCTTCATAAGAGATCCATATAGAGGACCTGAGGAAGACAGATGAGACAAATAGGAAACAGTGTGAGGTAATCGAACAGCAAAATCTATGCAACATGGGAAAATTTACCATCTCTTGTTTCAGAAAGAGGAATTTTCACTTCACACGTTGTAAAAATCCACTCTGGACTGGCAGCAACAGCACTTACTGGAGTCCACAACTGGCTTCCACTTGTTGCTCCATTCACTGAGCTGCTGGGCGTACTGCCGCTCCACGCGAGCTCTCTCTTGGAAACATGCCACAATGTCATTACAGGCCTGGAAGGCATCTTCTGTCCGCTTCACAGTGCGCTGATAGTTCCCAGGCTGCCAGGACACAAAGAGAGAGGAAGATCTGCTGTTAACACAAAATAAACAGAGCGAGGCGGGAGGAGGGTTGATGGAGGGCTTTTAAAGCCCCCGTACCAATATCAAAGAGCCATTTTGGGGGATCGAAAAGACTGAAATGGCTGCTACTTCTGCCAGTGTTCGATGCACTTTTCAAGTTTGTTTTATTTGAGTGTTTTTCTGTGCCAGAGAATACAAAACAGAACATCTGCTCACAGTTACAGCCTGGCAGAGGCAGCAGCATGGACCATAAGGAGATACTGACCAACTAATTTAGAGATGATCTAAGCTAACAGGACACTACCACTTCTACTACTACATACATTCAGACCACCACTGCTGTTTATGCTGGTAGTTCTTCCTCTTCTTATCTTCTAAACAGTTCCATCCAAATAAGAAAACTTTTATATCATTTGATACTTGAAATAACTGATTGTAAAACATGCACATAAAACTGTACAGGTTGTCCTTCTGTTGTTCAAACAGAGCAGTAACAGTGAGCAGTAACATTTATTGATCAATGTTTTGGCTCATCAGACCCTGAAAAACTTCAATGTTCTCAGTAAAAAGCACATTTTGTCTGAGGCTGTATCAGTCAGTTAACTCTAATCTCTTAACTGTAGCAAAAGAAATCGAAGCCCAAGCTAGCAGATGCCTAGCTTAGCTTAGTTTAATGGTAGTGTGGGAGAGGAGCTGGATTATCTTTGCAAGAGTATCAAAATTGCAAGCAAAGCTCAAAAACCTTTTTTTTTTAACAATTTGAGTCATTATCAAAAACAGACATGCAAAATTGAAAGCCATTATCCCAAACCCTGGACTTGGCTTTGTCACAGTCGATCAACAGTCTGGGGCAGAGACATTTGAACAATAAAGTAGTTTGTGAATTTTGTAACCCTTCTAAAAATCAATAACAAAATAATCACAATAAATATTTCCAAATCAACTCCACGTAACTTCTCTTGCTAATGGTTAAACCTAACACCAGACATCGTGCTCTTAGCAATAGTTACAGTAAGTACAAGCCCGCGCTTGTAGCACCTTAGCTTCGTGTAGCTGAGTGGTAGGAGTCAGGGGAAGAGCTGGCTGTGGTCTTTATCAAACTTACATGGGTAGCTGAGCACAGCATGTTGTTTTACCACACTGTGAGCCTGTATATGCTGCTGAACTGGGCTATAACTGTAGTAACTTATTTGTGTCTCACATTGTTACCTCAAAACTGTTGTCAGATTTCATCCACACTCAGCCATGTTAGCTTGTTGAATTTTCTAACTTTTGACCTGAGGATGTTATCTGTCTGTCATGTATACACACAAATAAGTCACATTATTTCTCTTAAAACGACAACCCTGGCATAGTATTTGTGTGCCTTATATGACATGTGATCTGCAAAGCCAAGTGGAGTGCAGCCATTATCAATAATATCATTGTCATTGGGTGAACCTGTTTCACATGTGAAGTGTTGATAAGCACAACTACAGCCATTCCTACTGCTACTACATTCCCTCACTCTTCGACCATTTCTGCTCTGAGGACTTCTACCAGTTACACTTCGACCTGTTTTAGCTTGTAGCAGAGCTCATCTTGGATCTTCATCTCTTCTTTCACAGCTGTGATTCTGCTGCAGTCGTCTAAGGTCAACCACCATGTGCCACCGCTGACATTTTACTGGCATTAAGTTTCCTGTGGTAAAAATCTAATGCCCTGGCTGCAGCGTTGGGTGTGGTCACTGAACACATGACACAGCCTGGCTGTAAAAACACCAGACATTTAAAAAGAGGACAAGAGGATGACAAAGGAAGGCCCTGAGAGTAATAACATATTTGAAGCAAGTGTGTTGTTTGTAGATGTGGTATTTGGAAATCTTTCTGCAATTTTCCTGGCAGCTGTTGTCAACTCCTACTCAGCAGCACTCACTCCTACTCTCTTTTACTTCTGTCAGACTCAATGTGTGAGCCGGTGACACATTTAGACAGATGCTTAAACATTTCTCAATACATTATGTATTGTGTTCAGTCATATGAGGCAGTGCACTTCTGATAAAAGGCTTATAAATACCAGTTTAAACACAACAGACATGATGATAAATATTCACCTTAAATGAATCCTAACAATAGTGCAAACATTTCTTCAAAGTTTAGAGTCCTTTAAACATTCACATAATTTTAAAGGGCTGACATTTTCTTCGCTATTAAAACACTTGGAATAAAGATGACTCATTTTGCTCATTCCTTAAAACAGTGAGTACATGAGGCACATGGTGCTTTGAGTGGCATTTCCCAGATTTTGATTGACATCTCCCTGCTCTGTACAAAACACCAACACATGTCAGAGTCATATGAGTCAGAGTCGGGGTAGGAGGCAGCTGCCAACAGAAAATATCATTTCATCTTGTCACAGTGTGATAAATTGCAAAGTGCAGAATATAGCTGCGAACTTATTGAAGATCCTGCAGACTAAAACAGACTAAACTCTCTACACCTGACTGTGCTGACTCCAGGGGACAATGGCTGAATAGCTGTGACTTTAATCAGTTTTGGTATGTCTCATACTTTGCACTACATTTCTCAGCTTCGCAACGCTCAAATTTACAGGCACTTTAATGACAATATACTGTGTTGTTTTTGGATGCTACCTCCAAGACCCTGCCAAGGCTTATGAAGGCTAGATTTGGGTTTAAAAAGTAGCACAAATATAAATAAGGGAGATGTAATGCTAGTTGAAGCCTTTTTTTTTTGTTTTTTTGTTTTTCTTTTGAAAACAGAGAACATTGTGTGTCTACATATTCCATAAGGCCATCATGTTAAGAGGAGTTTTAACAATATTACCTGTTGGTCACTAACCACAGAGTCATTGTTGAACTTTGGTTGAAAACAGGTCAAAAGATGAAGCTTTAAGGGGTGGAATTATGACATCAACATCTCAGAGAGTCTTTTATTTGTCTTTAATGATACAACTTTGATAAATCGGAGTGTTTTTCAGCTGCAGCTCGGCACCAAGACACAACACTGTTTGCTTGACGACTTTAGACAATGTAGAGACATTGTAAAGGGAGTAATCATATCCCACAAATGGAAAAAAAAGAGCCGTGCAGTTGCTGGCACTAAAGTTGTGTAGCCCTGACTCCAACAGCAGAGCAACCCCTGAATGATATCTAACAGATAAACCAGCTCCAGAGGACCTGACTGTGGGTGACAGTCAGAACTAGATAATTTCTGCTGCTGTATGTAAAGCATGCAACCTAAAATCTGCTATCAATCTGTGCGTGGCTGTGAATTCAATTTTAGGCATGTTTTATTTAATCAACATTTTTAAAAGCTGTAAATTAAAGCCTTGGCAATTTGTAACGCTCACTGGGATATACCTCAACATAAGACAGTTACCAGTACCTCGAAACATCTTTATGCAACTATGAGTGAGTTAGCATTAAATTTGCAAATGTTATCATTCATTATTGTCATGTCTGGTACATTTAATTGGCACTGCATGATATCTGAGGTTATCAATGTGTGCATGATGTTTATACCAGTTGACTGTCCTTCAGTATCTTAATGGCTCTACAGTCACAGCACTTCGAGTCTTCTTATCTGTGGGCAGATATTTTATCCTTCAGAGGAACTGCTCACTCACTCCTGCCTGCCTGCAGACCTTTTATCTCCACAGAGACCTGTGTTCATTAGAGGACTCACCTGAGGACCTCAGTCTTTGTTTTTACCACTAATTGACAGACATTCGATCCTGACTCGATGGTTAATTAGTGGTTAATTGAATATAGGGGCATCTGAAAGGTCAAGCAGTTAAGGCTAAACACGTTGTTAGTGCTCGCAGACAAGTTGAATTTAGGCCAATACTAGAAGAACCAGTATGCTTATATTTTTCTCACATTTTCCAACTGGAACAACTGTGTTTCTGATTAAATGCAGATTTGATGCTAATAGTAATTTTTCCCTGAAAAAAAGTGTTTTTTTGAAATTGAGCTTTACAGTCTCAGCATGTGCAAAAGCTGTTCTCTAATAACACAGAGTGAGTGTATATGTTTCATCCAGGATCAATGTGTGTGCTTCTCATCAGTTGCACACCGTTACTCCCCCCAGTCTTCCTCCTCACTTTCTCTCTGCCTCTGTTGTGGTCTGTCTGAGAATTAAACAGAAACAGCTGAGGAATCCACTTTGAGGCCAATAGCAACGCTACAGAGACCCAGTTGACCAATGTCTGCGGCAGAAGAAAATCCTCTACTAGAGAATTTGTCCAAGCAACAAAATGCAGAAAAGGCCCACAGTCCTGCGTCAAAATTTTTATTTCACATCCTATATCACAGATTTTATGCCAACTGTAAAGCAAGTCAGGGTGCACAGGGAGAGTGCTGGGAACCACCAGCAGAGGTGATATAGCATTAGCAATAATGTTATTGGCAGATCATACCAGTGACTAAGGTGAAAATATCAATAAAGATAGATACGGTGATAGTTACAGTCACAGAAATTACATATTGCCAAAAGATAGAACAGCAGCAGCAGAAGAAAAAGTCTTAACTTTGTTGTGAAACTGTCTCAAAGGGATTTTAAAGATTGACACATAAAACATGTTAAGTCTGTATAAAACATTGACCTAGTGTCACTGGCACCACCCATGGTTTCCGAAGAGATGCTATGAAGCCCAGTGATACGGTCACCATATTGGAAATTCTAATTCCAACCAGCTTCTGCTAATTAAAAAAGCAAACAAGTATCTGAGTCTTGAATAATCTGAAACACAAAAGAAGCAAAGAAGGCCCAAGTCCAATCATGAACTCTGGATCAGAATACAAAATATGAAGTAATGTAAGGTCAGTTTGACCAGAGAGCTTGATGTCCAACTTGTCACACGCTGTAAAACACAGACCTCATCAAAAAAGGTGACAACAACCGACAGTTCAAAGTTGACTTTTGACAGTCAAATGTGTCATTTGTTGAGAATATTTGATGTGGAACACATAAAAACAGGGCTGTTTCATCTGCTGATTGAACTGACATGTTCAGGCCTTAAAAAGCACAATTCTAAATCTTGTGGCTGTTGGTCTTGTTTGCTTTTGTGTGTCGTAAAAAGGCATTCTTAGTTGATTTTATAATCAGCAACATACTCCCTGCAGGAGCTTTAACTACTGTTATATATGTTTTTTTTTTTTTTTTTTGTTGTTTTTATGTTGTCATTTTTGTAACACTTCATTGCAGGGTTGCAGCACTGCAGCAGAAGATAGTATCTACCCTGAGGTTAAAGGTATGCGTCAGTCGCAGCTTTGCTCTACGAGCCGTACGCCAAAAATGACACTATGAAGACCTGTTTAGGAGCCAATAGAACCAGTTCAGTTCTTGCTCAGCCAAATGATCTGGATCACTACAAAGAGCCTGAATCCCCATTAGTAGCTCTAATGCCAAAATTATTTACCCTGAAATGAAATAGGATCCAAACTCTGCACTTACTCACATAAAGAGTTTGAGACAGATACACAGCCTTGGCGGATCTGAAGAAGCCTAATCTGTGGATCTTCATGATTATCATGTGTTTGGATTAAATGTTTTACTGGACTGGAATCATGGGGACCCACTCCACTGAAGCAAGAGGAGAGCAGACTGTCATCCTTAGAAATGGTTTTAATGTTAATGCTGCCTAACTTCCATATATTAATTAACACATACTCTGCTATTCAAGTGAACATCTTTGTTAACGGAGCTACACTTTTAATGAACTGTGCCACCTTTGGTAATAGCCCCCCATCCCTTTTACAGTTGTCACAAATGAAGAGAATAGCCACTAAGACCCAAACTGCCTTTGGTAAATAATCCTGGGAAAAGTCAGGTTTGTATAAACTTGTATGGGGTTTCCTCAGCTCATGAAGGCAGCATCATGTGGACATTAGGGGAAGTGCAGTTATTTGCACGACTGCATCTGCATCATTTCTCAAACACTGGGGGTTGCTGCTTGTTCACAGCATTAAATACCAGATAGGGGAGCAGCTGACAGGAATGTTTGCCTTCTGAAATATTAAAGAAGTTTATCAGTCCAGTTAAATTTTTGAAGATTCTGTTGAGCATCGAAAACTCTGTAGTTATTCTGCTAATAGTAAAAAGATGTTTCCACAGGACCTAAATAAGAGCTCAACATGAGCACCTGAAGCTTGTTAGAGACTGGTGAAGACAGCAGTCATGTAATATGGACTCAGCAGGTCCAAAGTGTCAATACTACATGTTTCAATCAGTTATTACGAAAAGAGCTTTTGTACACTGCCCAGTCTTCGCAGCTGTGATTTCAGCCCTCTTGAAGTGGTATTGACTTTGCAATTACAAAAAAGCCGAAGTTTGCAGAGTAATGACAGACAGCCCCGGAGCACGGCGGGGGATGACACAGACAGGAACTGGCATGGAAACACATCCAGCACAACAGGAGGCTGCCAAAATTACAGGAGGGAGGGGAAAGATTAAAGTGGGGCAGCTCGTCGGGGCCAACGGGAGACAAAGCCAGTATTAAAGGAGCAGCACACTCAAATTAGACAGACTGAATGTTGGAAGTGTTTAGCTCTTTAAAACAAGGAGGCAAAACAGGAGTGTTTTGTGTTTACAAGAAAGCAGAGCCATTCAGATAAAGAGAAATAAATACAGCAGTGTTTGCTCAGAATACAGAAAATGTACAGTTCTCAAAAGAGGTTAGAACAAAAACAGTATATATATTTAATATAGCAGTTGGGAGATTCAGCCTCTAATCTGAATAAATTCTTTTTTACTGTTTAGCTGTGAATGCTTTAGTAAGGTGCATGTTTGATTGTGGGAGGTGAGTTGTAACTTCCTCAGTCTTTTATTTCTCTCTTTATTGGTCCATTTAAATTTATTGTAAAGTAACTGGTTACCTATCTTAAAAAAAGCTAAAAAACTACCTTTAGTTATTAATGAGTATAGTGTTGTCTCTTCAAATATAGTCCTTACTTTACTCTTATAGTTTGTTGAGATCAGAGAAACTCTTCTTTTTGTGGTGATCAAACCTGGACCAGCTACCTATTCACTATGAGAGGACTAAAAAAGGGAAACCATATGTCAGGGCTCCAGCTGAAGGAAGCTAAATTGAAGATTTGTTGGAGTTTTGTCCAATAAAACAGAACAGGAGCAAACTTGTCTCTACCTTTAACATTTAAAAATGCAAGAACAGCCTTGTGCACAGTGATAACCAGCCTGGATGACAAAACTGTTTAGTCTGTTTGAACAGGAAGGTCGGAGATTCTCAAGAGGCCAAGGGGAAAAGATATCTGACTGATCAGTCTCTCTTTCTATCTTAGAGGACGAGCAGACAAAGACAGAGCAATGCACTAACACACACACACACACACACACACACACACACACACACACACACACACACACACACACACACACACACACACACACACACACACACACTCAGACTTACCATCCAGAAGCTGCGATTGTTGGCATCTTCAGGGCTGTTGTCTGATGGTAGCGTTGACATCCTGTTATCTGAGAGAGAGCAAGAAGTATATGATTGGTTCAGAGCATGATATCACTGCATTCTCAAACTTAAGGAAAATTCCCATGGCAGCTAAGATAAGACATGATAAACCTTTATTCGTTCCACGATGGGGAAATTTGGAGTGTTACAGCAGCAAAGGATCAGCACTGCAAGCATCAAATAATCTATCTAAAATCTATCTATCTATCTAAAAAAAGAGAAACAAACCAACAACAAAAAACAAACTGAAAACGGTTCTACACAGTGAACAAAAAATATAATTATTATACTGGAGAAAAATGTAGGTATTTGAATGAATATCTAGTCCGTCAATATTGCAAATAGAGGTAATACAGACTTACTGTCCATTAGTTGCATTAAAACAAAACCTGGACTACTGGGAGCATGCCTGGTTAAACAGTCTGGGCTCTATTTTCGTGTACGCCGCGTATATTTTCATCTGGCGGAGCCCGGCGTACAGCCAGTTTGGTATTTTCGTGGACTGAGGCGCACCGAGATCTGCCAAGCTGGGTGTGGTGGCGTGGCAGAGGGAGGTGTTGACAGAATCAGCGGTTGGAGTGACATTTTCGTGCTCGCCACCGGCATATAGAGTGCGCTGAAAGCTCGCCGATTCAAACACAGCTGGTCTAGTGGTATTTTGGTAGACACTTGTTGAGAAGCTGCCTTCTGTCGCCATCGTGTGGCATTACTGTCTTCAGACATCTCTTGATCTCTTTGACTACTTCACGAAAATAATATGCCTTGCCGGTGGCGGATTTAAAGGCGAGGAGAGGAGCTGATTTTATTGGTCAATACAGGTCTTGGCTGTGTTAAACCCACTCCACGCCCTCTCTCCTCCCTCGCTACGACTTACGCCTGGTTCACACAGGAAGCGCCGCGCGTGGAAGCACCCCGCACCGAGTTTCAGATCGGCGCCCGTGTTAACCTACACAGTCACACACGGGGAAGGTGCCGCGCGCACCGCAAGCGCCAATTGTAAAGCTGGACAGAGCAGATTGGACCAGACAGGAAGTCGGGAACAGGAGATGCGAGAGAATCCGGTCAATTTTCAAAATAAAATATATTTCAATAAATTAGAAAAAAAGGATTTACGGTGTTGCTTGTCGGTCTATTTTTTCCCAATGAACACGCATGCACGCACACACACACAGACACACACACACACAAACACACACACACATGGAAGGAGAGCGGCAGAGGTTCAGTGATGTTAATGAGACAAAGGAGGGGGACTTTATTACGATTGAGTCAATAGCCTTGAGCTAACAAGGCTACACATACAACGGAGTCAACAGACTCCCCAATTCATTCGTTGTTAACCCCTATATAATAATTTAAAACAATACTTGAAGATGCTGCCAATATTTAATGTATGTATGATGTAATAAAAACGTAAATAAATATTGATTTACCCATGTTTAAAGCGCTTGTAAGTGTGGAAAACTGAGGGCAGTCGGAAACAGCCGAGCACTGCCGGGCTCAGTCGATGTCTGACTGGCGCATCAGAGCGCAGCAGAAAACGCTTTATGTGTGAACCAGTCTCTGGCGAGGCACGAAAATAAAGCCCGCTGACTGCAGCAGGAAAGAAGGACTTGAGGTATCTCTCTATCACACACCACAGCCTGTCCCTGAAGGATCTGTGGAGATTGTTGCTTATTCATTTTCCTTTTAAAATGAATACTATAGCAGAGGGACAGGTTGCATTTGTACTTTCAAGAGCTAACCAAACATTTGAGTCATCTCACTGTTGTTTCTCTGTGTTTCTCTGATCTGCTTAAAAGCTGCTGTGAGGATTTTTTTAATGTTTACAAAATAGACTAAATTCCATATTGATGCCTGTTTGTGATAAAAAAAAAACAAACAGGACCATCAGGGACAAGATTGGCAAATGTTATATTCAACTTTTAAAGTCATAAATTAGGCCTTGTCCACATGGGAACACAAACAATATATTGCAGTTTTGTTCAGAAAGCATTTGCCAAGCCAATAAGTTTCGCTGTAACGCTGCCTCAGAAATGCACCAAAGGACAGAGGAAGCGTACGGATTATGCATGTACTGGTGTTTTGGCTGGACTTGCGCAGGTTGCCTTAAAGGGATATTCCAGCGAAAATTTTGAGGTTTTTTTTCAGGTCAGGTTGAGTGTTTTGTACACACTTCTAACTCAGTTAGTCCACGGTACACAAACTTAAAACTTCCATGCAAAACCCCGAACATTTGAAGGATAAATATAAACTCCCCTGGACAGGTCAGACAGCCCCCAAAAAGAGGACAAGTCCGGGTAAAAGGGGGACATATGGTCACCCTATTTTTCAGCCATTTATTTGTCACTGTATGCTCCCTGTTTAAACCTTTGGCAGTACCTCTTAATTAGACATTTTATCTGTGTCTTCTGCTTTGATGTAACCTACAAATAACTTTTTTTTTCCAACAGTACAAGTTGTTTCACCTCTCAGTTCACCCAAAAATCTTATCTCAAGCACTCATAATACTTTCTCTAGCGGTAAGGTGTAAAGGTCCTCACACACCAGCGAATTTGTGGAGCGAAGCGAAAAAGCGAGACGAAAATGCGAAAATATTTGCCGGTCTGAAAAATCGCTTTTGCTTATACACACCGGGCGACCACTCTGTAATACACTCTCTCTCCCATCATTGCTCTTGGTGCCAGTGGTGGTGTGTGTCGTGTGAACTGCAGCCGCATTGGTTTGTGACGTCATCAACAACATGACTTTTGATTGGCCAGAGGTCTAGAAGTTCCAGATATTTGCCTGCGAATCTCTAAAAAATTCGACACAAGAGTGAAAAAATAAAAGACGCTTTTCGCCCCGCGGAAAAATTGCCGCTGGTGTGGAAGCTTGCATTGACTTTATGCTGTTTTTAAAAAAGGCATATAATTCGCCTGGCGAATTCGCGCCTGGTGCGTAAGAACCTTTACAGCTGACTCAAATCTGGACATTATACTCTTGATATTTAGTGTCTACTTCAGCATACACCTTGGTGATTGAGACAGTACCTCCTGGGTGTCTGGTTAAGATTGCTCTTACATGAGAGGGTCCTTAAATTGAAAGCATTCAATATCTCTTAAATCACTGCTGCACTATTGTAAGCACTTATGTGGAGATATACAGCATGTGCAATGTGTCAGTGGCTGCATCATATAATGGAGGCCCTGTAAACCCATTAAAGAGCCATAGAGCTGCTGCAGGTTGATGTGTACTGTAAATTTAACCCAGGAGGAGTACAGTAAATCGTCTGCAGCGTTTCACATGCCATAACATCAGTGAGCATGCAGTATCTTCTCCCAGCATTCCCAGCTTTGAAACACGAGCTATCCAAAAATAAACTGAGAGTAAAGGTCAACACATTCTGTCATTCGCTCACTTGCACCATGTCGGTAGCTTTGTCTGCTTTTTTATCAGTCCAAGAAAATGAGCTCATGAGCTTAATCAACTTAAGACAAAGAGGTGTCGAAAAATTAGGTCCTCCAGACTCAAAATCAAGTGATCCAGCATAATTTGAGATTAAACATTATAAAAGTGTGTTTGAGAGCTACTAAATTACTCCACCGTAACAAAGACAATTTTTCACTTCAATATTTCTGCACATAGCAGTTTTGCCTTCTCGTGTTTTAAATCCTCAATGCCCCCTGAGCTGAGCTCCACCCAAACTCATCTTTCATATCTCCCATGTTTCTCCCCTGCAGCTATCGCTTGCTTGGCTTTCTTTGTGAGGCCTCACAATTAGATTCAATGATTTCCCCCTGCTGTTCATGGGGCATCACATGCTCTCCAGAGAGCATAATGACATGCCTCTCTCCTCTGCTCGATCCTTCAGTGTCTCTGCCACAGCTGAGGTCTCACAGATTACACAACCCTGAGGTCTGCGAGGGTTCAAACAAAAAAAACAAAAAGACCACGAACTGCCACTTTCTAACCTTTGACCTCCACTTCCTGTCCCCTTGCTAACTAGCTGTCATATCACTGAGGGCGTATCCCTGTCACAGTCTTCTCAAGACAGTGGAGTGTTGGAGCTCTGCTGTTCTGTCTTACGATCCAAATCCAATCCACTTAGTTTATTTAAAACTTTAACTCTGTTATGTACAAACTTTGATTCACTTCTAGTCCAAATTGTCATGCGGACTTTCGCCTATGAGTACTACTCTAACTTTAGGTTGTCTATCTTAGCTGTGCGTGTCTCTTAAATATGATTTCATGCTTTCTTTTTTACACATAATGCTGCACTTGTGTGCAAAAGAAGGTATGCTTTAAAGCTCCTTATCTATTCCAGTAAATATGATGGCAAAGAAACCTTATAACTGGATTTTGTGGACATCTAATCAATTTAACCCATTTTTGAAAAGGGGCGGGGTTGGCCTAATTTTGCCTGTAACCTTGATTTGTTAATAACCTGGAACTAAAGTTGTAGGTAGAAACATCAAGTTGGCTTTCTGTCTTAGTTATTAAGAAAATATCCTACTTTTACTTTTTTTTCAATTCGGTACAAAAGATAAATGGTTATATGTGCAATAGGGAGCATACCACCTACCAGCACAGATCTAATTCCACCATGGGTCCTCCAGACTTTTTATGACCTCCTGGCAGCTCAGACAGGAAATTAGTTCCAGTTTTCAAAAGTCCTCTGGCGTCCCAGTAACTTTTCAAACCTTTTTTTCTTTCTTTGTCTCAACCTGTAAAAACTGACTAAAAACGGACTCAAAGCTGAAGAAAAGCGAAACTCAGCTCAGTCAAGAGAGCTTCCATCCAACTAACCAACTCTTTCACCCCAATATCCCACTCCCACTCTGGCACACAGACTCACTCCTCCCCCTGTCCCTGTTTCATCTGTCACACATAACTCCCCACGCACACACATTGCATCGAGGAAATATATAGTAACAAATGAACACACAGAGCAGAAATAGGAGCGCAGTCCTTCCATTAGATCTCATTGAAATGCAGCAAGCCTCTCACAGATCCTCACCTCTTGAAAATTTGGGGCCCTCTGCACTTCAACCCTGTTCTTCCCTCTTTTGATTGGCAGCTTGAACTTTTCCCTTTCCCTTGTTGAATCTTTGCAGACTTTCGGACTCTTTTCCTCTCCGTCTCGTTTTCTCTGCACTTCTCAAACTTTGATTTTCCACTCGCTCTGGACAGTGCTGCTCCTGCTCTTCCCCTTTCTTTGGCCCACTGTTTGTGTCAGATGAGTTAGCTCCCTCCTTCTCCCTCCTTCTCACCCTCCCTCTCTCCCTCCCTCCCTCTCTTTTCCTCTCTCTCTCTCTTTCTCCCTCCAAACAGCTGCAGGGGACTACTTCTTCTCTTGTTCTTTGTCTTTCACCACTTGTTGGAGATTTTCCCCCTCTCACAGTCACCATCCTTGCCCAGTCAGGAAAGTGTCAATATTGTTGGAGTTTCTTAGTGTTTCTGTGTGTGCGTGCTTCTAGGTGAGTCAGACTAAAGCTGAGTCACTCATACGGTGGATGTTTGTGCACATCTGTTTCTAAGTTAATTGCTCTGTTAACATCATTTTATGATTTGACAAAGCAGCATGACCAGATAAGGAAAACTGCATCCCTCTGTGTTGGTCTTTATACCCCCTTTTCCCTTCCCTCCACATTCCCCTGGGATCTTTTGGTGGGCTTGCCTCCACAGCTGGAAGACACATCCGGTGTGTGTGTGTGTGTGTGTGTGTGTGTGTGTGTGTGTGTGTGTGTGTGTGTGTGTGTGTGTGTGTGTGTGTGTGTGTGTGTGTGTGTGTGTGTTAAAAGCTGAGATTCTTTGAAGTCAGAGGCCCCCTAAAGAAGAATTGTTTCCCACTCTTGCTTCATGCTATGCTGATCTTGTGAAACTCAGTCGTGCCACAACATGCCATGTAAACACACAGCTGTTGTACACTCCATGTTTACGCCCAGAAACAAGCTTTTCTGAGCAAATAGTGATCCTGTGGTTGTGATCCTGTTATCAAATCTGGTGATGGATGGTAGTCAGATATCATGACAGCACAGTGAGATGTGATTTTGAAAATAACAGACAGTAGAGACCAAGGCTGCAAACAGGAGGGTGATAAGGTTCCAGCGGTGACTAACACTGTTGTAAAGGATCAGTATAGAGTAGCTTTCTTCTTCTTCTTCTTTGGCACTTTGTTTTTCAACTATGTTGATTAAATATATCATAACCTGACCTGACGGGAGTGGAACTTTGTATAAGCCTATCGGCTTCGTTCCCTCCTTGCACTGTTTTTAATCTGTGCTAAATAAACAAATACAAATAAAAATAATGTACCTATTATGTAAGTGCATTTGTGCCTTGAGTCCTGTTTATTTAAAGATGGAGTGAGTAGAATGAGGATATCTAGTGTCATGGCAGTAAGATTATATAATGGGACACTTCCTCGCTAATCTCTCTTGTCACTAAGGCAATGGTGATCATCATGTTATCGTCTTTTGGACAAAAACACTTGATTCGTTCGAACTCATATTTCTGTGATGCATGACACGTCTGACCCTCCATTTGCCAAGTTTTTACAATCCAACGGTTCGATGGGTACAAATGAATTTGTGCGCTACAATAACCGATCTCAGTCTGTTCTCTCCGTTCTCACACTGGCACATCTATGTCAGCCACCCAGTTATTAATTAAACACTTTTGGTTCCTGCTAGTTTGTCTGTTCTGAGCTACTGTAGAAAACATGTCAGTCTCCGGAGTGAGGACCTGCTGCTTCTTAAATAAAAAATATTTTTCAATGTCATCAAAAATGAAATGATTATGACATTCAATTCAAGATAAAGTAATCTAAAAATACTTTTGCATAATATTTTCTTCATAATTTATTGAGATGAATTCTACACAGTGTACCTTTAACACTGAAATCATTATCACTTCATTATGTTTCAGACATCCTTCTATTTTCAAGGAGCTCATACAACTGGCTAGGTGATTTGGTGATTGTAACAGTTTTTTTGTTTTTGTTTTGCAAAACATAATTTCAAATAATCTAGTGAAGAGGGATAAGTACTCAGTAAAGAAATTGACCCCACTGCACCCGAATTTCAATATTCATGCTTCACTGATAACTTCCCTGATATGAGGCCTCAAAATGTCTTTACAGTCCCAGTATGAAGATAGATGGAAAGATGGGCAGTAAGATTCAGCACACTATGGTTGTCATGCGGATACCACCACTCACTTTCACAAGTTCCAGGACAGGGTGACAGGGAAACCAGCGGAGCACCCTGTTTCAGTATAAGATTATCCCCATTGGTTTAGGCTGTACACTCCACCTACTTTGAGCCGTGATTTTGGAGGAGAAGGTGGAGAAGACAGAGAATAAAACATGATGTGAGAAAGAAGACAGCAAGACCAAGACGCCTGTTTGGAGAATAATAATTTGCAATTTAATCAAAAGCTAGAGTCATTCGTAAAAGTACTACAGTATATGCTCATCTCATGATATGGTTTTAAATATTTAAAAGTCATGGGGGGATTTTCTGCATTCACCTCTACTACTTCTAAAGAACATTTTCAGATAATAAAATACCTCATCTTCATTGATACTTTCAATGCATGGATTTCACTTACAACTGTGTAATTTTACTGTGTAATACCAGCACTGCTGCCCAGTTTCAGTCTCTACATCTGTCACAAGTCAGTACTGCATCAGGGAGGACCTCAATAAAAGTGTGTTTTCATCTTTGGTTATTTGTTCACTAACTTATCACCTAATATGGTGTGTATTGGACTGCAGTAAAATATTAACTTCAAATTAAAATACAGCATGATTTGCATTTACTTCACTCCTATTACTGTCTTGTTTTATTAATGAAGCACTGCTACCTCCAACCACACCACATCACGGTTTAATCAGTCAACACTGTGTCAAGTATTGGTGTTAGAGTCAAATATACCTGGTGTTTGAGGGCCAAACGTTTCTGTGACTGTTGCTTTTAACTGTCCTATAATTATCATCATACATATAAGTATCTCATTGACTGTCTTTGCTGCCCTCTAGCGGTTACATTTACAATATTAAGTACTTCTTTTGAATTCTCCCTGGTACCACCCTCAACATTAACCAGTAAATAACTAGGACCACAGTCTCTATATATTAATACATATCATTTTTTATCTCAATGCAGAAATGAAACATTGTAATCAAGAGGAGAATCTATACAAATATAGAGGCTCTAGTCGAATCATTTAAAAATCACATTTAATATTCACTAGATCAAACTCTTTCAGCAGCTGCAACTGTCAGGAGTCGGTTATTTCTGGCCACAATAAAAATAATGTAACAATGAATTTATGAAACGTGTCACATTTTATAAAGCATAGGAACGGATGCAGTTTGGTTATATATTTTCTTTATTTCTATTCAATTCAGGCAGTCTCCTTATCAGTCTTTCTGCCATCTAGTGGTCGTAGTAGCATCTACAACCATCATTACTGTGAGCAGGGCCTAGATGGATGAATTCATGCACCTCAGTAACAGTGGGTGGACTGTAGTTCAGATGAAGTCAACACCTCAAATCCTCAGCAAAAATAGCTATGTGAATACTGGTTTTACACTAAAAATGTACAATTGAACTCTGGTAAAGCTACAGTGTAGTCTGATATCAGTGTGATACCCACAAAATAAAAAGTATATGATAAATATCAAGTTATGCACTTCTCTTGTGAGTTCAGCATATAGCGATTCTCAAAACAAATGGCCAGTCTGGCTCATCTGGTTACCTAATAATCCAGTTGGTGAAAGGCTGTTGATTGCTTAAACAAAAAATGTTTTTGAGCTCTCACATATCAGTATTTGAATTCAGGTGATGACACAAGTAACTTGATCATTAAAACAAGACCAATAAGTGCTTCAGCTTTATTGATTTCAGCCTACTTCTGTGCTTTATATCATCTTAATGTCATATTGTACTTGGGGATTCTTATTTGAGTCAAAAAGGCTTTTTACTTTGTCATAATATCAAAGTCATTAATATTTGTGAAGTTACCTAAGGATTGTCACGAAGAAATCTATTCACAGATTGTACGGAGGTCTAGATTTAGAAAGCAGTCGACTTTGAGGATTACACTTCATGAAATTGATATAGGTAAAAAGTGTTATTATCACGCTACCAGCCAAAGACACAAAACGCTTGACACACAGTATTGTTTAAAAAATGCTTTTATTGACCCTCTTCCTATATCCCCCCAAATTAAATGATAATCATGGCTATAAAGTGCTCCTGAGATTTTAAAAAACAAACAAACAAACTCTGTTTTATGTCAGCAGGTGGTACGGGAAATATTATTCTGCAGAGATTTTCTAAAGAACAGGCGAAGGGATTATCATTCTTTAAGAAATGCTTGCAACGTCTTACAACGAATGGCTGAGCAAAATCATTTCAAAGTATAACTCTCTAAAAACTCTTAATTAAAAGGTAAATTGTGTTGTTTTCTCATACACAACATTATTATCAATTTCATGTAAGCTTGCTGGCTTCATGCGTGTTGCTAATTTGACCGTCTGACATGAAAATAACCGTGAATTACAAAGGTAGCAAAATGAGTTTCAGGCTACAGAGTTTCAAGCTTCTTCCAGGCCGTTAGGGGGCGAAATGTGCTACTGTGTTGACTGCCAAGCCAAGATATTTGCAGGACGCACAAAACGAAGAGGCAGCTATGTCTGAAGCCATTTGGAGGAGAAGTAGCCACGCTGTAACACCAGCTGTTCGTCTGGTAAGATAACCATCCACAAATTTCACTGCAGCCTCATTAATATAACTCGGCATGTTTCCTACTGCTGAATAATCGAATACAGGGACTTTTAACCTTCATAGTACTAAAACAAAAGATGACACCTTTATTCATTGCTGAGACGAACCATTGCTTCAGATTTTAGTCTGTAAATGTTATTCACACATTAACTAAAAGCTACTTGTTGATACACTCTCTGTGAAAATATAACTTATTGTTTTATATAATTTGAGCCGAATTAAACTCTGTGACATGTGGCCACAACTATGAAAGAGTTGGTCTCTTACATTTTTTTTTTTGTTGTTGTTGTTTTTGGTGTTGCGTTAAGAGACATTAAATAATATCTATTTAAAATCAGATTTGCATCTCAGCCGTCACTCAGTTTGCTCATATTCAGCATAAATCAGTCTGATATTCAGCATAACTCTGGGCCTTGTGACCACGTGGTTAGCCTGCCTGGTTCATTAGCATGTAGCAGACACTGTAACGTGAGCAGAAGTGCTGAGGGTTTCAGGAAAATGTAAACGATTGATGTCTAAATCTCAAACACGCGATTTCTAACCTCGAGTTGAGGAAAGTAACTGCATTGTGCTGTCTCTTTCCTGATGACTTGCACTGGGCTCTGACCTCTTATGGAGACTACGTGCATCTTTGGCCCTGACAAGCCAACGTGTCTGAAAAGAAACTGATTAAAGCTGTTCAGAAGGAAGGACCGGTTATTATGTCAACACTAACTTGTGCTTATTTCTCCTACAGCTTACCCAAAAGAAGTAAAACCTCCAAATTCTGCATTGATTCAGTAAGGTATGTCAGGATCTTTGAACCCTCGTATTTATCACTTTATCCTAAAGCAACAGAGCTCTTCTTCTGTGCACATTTTAGATATCTGTAGCTTAATCTCATGGTGGTTACTTGTTGAGGATTAGCATTTATAGAAGTAAAATGTGTGTAATTTGTGACCACTGGAGGGCAGAGGATGGATGCAGTTATACCAGACACACCAACACTTGCAGATAAATGTAAAAAGAAATTCCAGTTTCGTCCCTCTCCCCTGATGACTCGCACTGGGCTCTGAGTTTTTATGGAGACAACGTGCATCTTTGGCCCTGACAAGCCAAAGTTTCTGAGGAGAAGATCTGCAACACTAGAGCTGATCCAAGCTGCTTCAGAGCAGCACAATGAAGTAGATAGAAGTTAACATTACAACTCAATAACTCAAATGTTTGTTTTATAGGTGTTTGAGGGTTGTAGCTGCTCATGGACCAGACTTGAAGCAGGTTTGTATGATTGTAATGCTTCACTCCGCACATGTTGATCTCTTGTGATGTCTTGCACTGGGCTCAGAAAATCAGTGATGACAGAAGTGCAGCTCTACCCCTGACAAGGCAGAGTCTGAGGAGATGACTGTTGATAAAAATATCCTTAAAGCAAGTAGGATCCTTTTTCAGTTGAGCAGTTTTGACTGACTGCTGTGTTTTTTCTTTTTTCAGGTACTAGTCCTTCAACAGACAAGTCTGCAAATTTGTTTTAAACGTAAGTTTGTGTCACATAGATTTAGTTGTATTCTGTAATCACTCTGATTAAGCCAATAAAACCTTAGTATTTGAACTCTCTTGTTTTTGTCTTTATTGATATGACCAGTGCATCATTTGACGTAATAACTTGCTACCACTCTACTGGGTTACCAATAGATGATAGAATCTGATATTATGTACTGTTTGATAAAAAAAGATGGCATTACCATTGTTTTGATTAAAAAAAAAAAACATACAGGTACATCCCAACAGATTGGAATCTGTTGCTTTCCATCTGCTTTCGTAGTGATTTTACATAAACAAGTTCAAACCCAAGACTAAGTGAGTCAGTCAACTTTTTTTTTTTTTTTCATCAAGTGGACTTCACTGTAGCTTAAATTCATTTGATTGATCCTTGGAAATATTTTGAAGTACTGTTTTCTGATGCACATGCTTTGAGCAATAATAAACCAAAAACAAATTTAAATCTATGTCTTAAGTCTTTTTACATTTAATCAAGTATGAAGCTATGAGTAAGTCTGAACATGTTTGCCGAAAGTGAGCAGGAACAAATTTTTCATCAGTTAAATATGAAAAGGACAAATTAAGTAGACTGCTGTTTTTCGTAGGGGCTGTCAAAAATGGACAGAAACTGGGAGTTCCTCACAGAAGCTTCAAATTAGCTTGAAGAAATTAAGGTTGTAATGAAGTTCTCCTTTTGAGATGCAAACTGTACAGGCAGGACCTGTAGTTACACTGTACTTACGGAATTCTGCAATTACACCCTGATTTACTTGGTAAATAAAGGTGTAATGTGTCTGAAGTTTCCTCATTAACACAAAAAAATTAAGTTGTAGAAGAGTTTTTTAAATCTTCGTTTCATTATAAGATATTGCGGTAGGTAAAATTACAATATATAGTTATGTCATTGAAGAAAGAATTATTGAATAAGACAGAGGGAATGATGTTTTTAACCTGAGTCTTTAGTGGATTATAAGTTTGGGCACTAACATGAACATGGTTGAAAATCTGAGCTGTTAAATAAAGAATGAACTCACCGGATCCATGAGTAACATGATTTATTTTCATGGATGACAGAGAACACATGTCAAAAAGTCAGCAACAAATAAGCTCTCCCCTGTCTGGGTGATATTTGAAAGAAATCTGCCACTAAACTCTGCTATTCTACGATACTCCTTGATTCAATAATGTGGCACCCTGTATGAATTGTGCTTAGTAGACTGTAAACTTAAGTATAACCACAAAATATGAGGTTACAGAAGATCCACAGCACCCTCAAGCAAGTTTTGTTTTAGGACCTTGTTTGTCTGTCAGGACAGCTGAAGAGAGGATGGGGAGTTAAGAGAGTAGGAGATGACGCGCAGCAAAAGGTTGTGGCTGTGAGTCAAACAAAGAGCTATTTACTTCCACTGTTGAGCTGAACTTACTCGTGCATGTCGTCTTTTTTAGATGAAAACATGTTTAAACATTGACACACAGTCCACTGGCCTCCATCTGCTAATATGTGACAGCATGTGGACTTTTTCCTGCGGGGATGTTAAATGGAAAAGGTTCAGAGGGAATTGTATCACTCCATGGATATGAAACAGTAACATTCAAGGAATCAGAAAACATGAATTAGAACTTAGTTTCTGTATCTTTATTATAATTCTAACAATTTATTATCTCTTAAAACATTTGAAATTCATATAGGTTTATATGAATGTGTGTATATGCGCATCACATATACATATATATTCTGTAAGTGACCTTTCATCAGTTCATATTCTCATTTTTTAAAAGATCTCTTAAAGGAAAAGAAATGCTTTCTATAGAGTCAGACCGATTCCCAAAGATCTCTCCTGACAGCGACCGTGAGTGGTCACTCCTCAGTGCAAAGAAAGGATTCCAAACAATTTCACAATATTTTACTGTATCAGCAAGAGATGTTTTGCAAAAGGTTTTTAAACGGCCCTTTTTACACCAGCAGCTTCATTAAGACCTGATAGAAACAAGATTCATCTGACGGTGGATTCTGCTCTTTTAGCTTTTCTAAAGCAACCTGTCTGGCTTCTTCATGACTCCAAAGGGAAATGTGAGAAGCCACCGTTGCTGATGGAAAAAGGGACATTGCATAAGATGCTGGTAATAAACAATGAGTCTGCAGAAAGTGCTTTGTACACACAGGAAAATGCAAAAGACGAGCGGTGCCGGGCTCTGGATACAAGGGAAGGGATCCGCTGAAACTGAGAACAGGTCCAACTGTATAGAAAGCAGAACAGATAGATAAATACATTGTACCTTTTCATGTTAAACATTATTTGGAAGACAGAGATTCTTTAGAACTTTTGAGACTTTTTTTATACATCTTAAACCATAATTAGATAACCATTATTTTCATCGTCCTTATTGCTATTTCTCTTGCATCAAATATAATCTCTTCTCTATCATGAACAGAAAACAATCCCAGAGACAAAAACCCCTTTTTAACCTTTACCATACATAGCCTATACACTATATACGTGCGTGCGTTCACTCTCAGTGACTTGATGTATGAAAACTCAATTATCTTTTTAAAGACAGACTGAGTTGAGCCGGGCAAGGAGGAGAGGGATCTCACCACTGACACCCAAGTGTAAAAAATGGGTTTGATATGTGTTGGAGGACTTGGAAGCAGCAGGAGAGGTGAGGTGTTGTTCAAGGTAGAGAGGTCATGAGAGAGCCCTTTGTATTTGATCTCAGCAAGGGTGCAAAAAGCAGGACTGAGGTTGTCATGGGAGGAGAATGAGCGGTAAAAAATGATGGGGGATATCTCTGCGAGTAACCAATCATAAAGGGCTTTTTTATTAAAGGAGTAGTGAATGATTTTTTAAATGTAAAAGGAAATATCAGCTCGTGTCTTCTGTGGGGCCTACTTAAAGTAACACTTGCTACATTTCGAGTATCTTCATGTTACAAATAAGCGTTTGGAAATCCTACTTTGAGGCCATAAAGCTTATAAGCTTAAGAAAAGCAGAGGGAAGTGATTCTGAAAATGTGCTTCACATTCAAAGTTGCAGTGCCTCTCATCAGACAGAAGCAATATTAAGGGTACAATGCAGGAAATAAAATGCATCTTTCAATTCAAAAAATACCTACATATACATCTATATTTATATATATATTTATATATATTTATATCTCAGTACGAATATCTTCACTTCACAGTCAGAGCAACTGCTGTAAGAGTGCCGTCACAACCACCAGAGGCAGAAAGTACCAACTCTCCGGAGCTACAATAACAAGAAGGACGATGATAGTAATGATAAATAGTAACAATAAATCTCTCCATATCAATATTCCAGTATTCCCATTTAAAGTTTAAAAATTGTAAGAAGAATCAGAGTATTAAAACTTGATAGAAGTGTTTATCTCAGATCCCCTCAGTTGGGTTTTACTCCTCCTGGTTCGAGTGCCAGAGGGGGGGATTGGGTGGGAAAGAGCAAGAAAATGGCAGTTTTTCCTCTTCCCGTCCCCTCTCCTTTTTTTTTCACAGTCTCTCCTCAAACCTGAAAGGTCTGAGCGCGGTGATCAACAAACAGTTGCCTCGACAGTTGCTGAGGAAGTCTTTGAGGGTTAATAAAATCCTCAGGGAGATTTCTCTTCACATTGTCGCCGTCTAACAGTTGAAAGCACAGCCAGTTTCCTTTTAGTGTATCTTAAATCCAAACATAAAGTGTGTGTTTATATATAATGCGTCCCATAAACTCTAACACAACCACTTTGAGTGCTTGTGTGAATGTGTGTCTACATGTTGGTGTATGCATGCAGGCATGTATAGTAGTAACTCAGGTGCCTGTGTGTGGGTGTGTTTCTTTTTTCGTATTTTATTTTTTTTTGTTGGTCTGGGCACTTATTTTTGCTACAAATTTGTGATACAGTGACCAGTCTGTATATATTATGTCATAATAAGACTTAAGATGATAAAGAGCTATAGAGAAACACACAAGGACCTGCAGTGAGAACAGAGCCCTGCCAGTGGTGAGGTAAAAACAAGACATAACCAATCAAATCCAGACATACAGAGGCCGATCACATGTCTGGAAGCTTTACCTCCACATCGCCACACATCACAAAGCCTCTCACCTGCAAATATTCCCTCCTCAGATATTCTCTCAGACATTAAAAACAACAACAAAAAAACACTCACTCAGGAAGAAAGGAAGGAAGAAAGGAAGGAAGGAAGGAAGGAAGGGGTTTGTCATTGATTGCACTCGGTTTCTCATAAATTCCACCCTTAAACCTGAACAGAATTAGGAGTAAGCAGAGAGGGAAGAGGATGATTCAAAAAGATGGCTGCATGATGAACCTCCAGCTCCCCAGCAATACATCCTGCTTTATCAAAAGGAAAAAATAAAAAATAAGAACTAAGTGGCTTTTGATTGTTCTTCTCAAGTATTTGGTTCAGTTCCATCTCTCGTCTTATGCTGAAGCCATAGTGTCTTCATTATGTGTATAGCTTTGTGTGCGCGTGCACACAAGTAGGGAGTGTGTAATTTTGACCGCCGCAGCTGGGGGGTGCCAGCCGGTGTGTTTCTGGATCATCAGCTGCTTTTTTTCACCCTGGTTTCCACCCCCCTTTGGGATGTGACTCCCTCTCTGTGTGAAATCTGTTCCCCCCTCATTTGTTGTGTGAATCCACCGTGGATAGCAGCAGCAGTTGTGCCTTCCTCCCTCATTGACTCCAACCCTTCTTCTTCTTCTCCCCCTCTCTTTCTTTCTTTCTCGATAAGTTTCTGGCTCTTAGTTTGAGGCTTCAGCTTCGGCTCCCGTCATCCCTCCTCCTCTCGGTCTGTCCCTCTCGAGGTGAGAGGACAGAGATGGGAAAGGGGCTGCTGGACAGCCTGAAAAAACAGATAGGAACAGATATCAGACAAAATTAATGTATTTTTAGAAAAGATCATGAAGCTGTTTGTTGTTTTGGTTCATCAATTGTCCTCTTGTGTGACTCAGACTATAGTTAAATATGTATGATGCTGAGTATGACTGATAGTGTAGGAATGCACAGTATTTGAGTATTCATCAGTCATACATACAGTGCTGAGGACCCTCAGCAGCTACATTCATTTCTTCACCAGGATTACAGAAAAGGGTGTTTCTCAACAACAAACTTAGTTATTTAAAGACTATTTATTGAAAGATTAACATTACCATCAACAAAATCCACCCTGGCCAGCTTGTTGCCTGTTTTCATCTTTTGCTTCCTGCCATGTTTGTTGGAGCGACATTACTAGACAGGCAGGGGGCGCTGTTCTCATCTTCATCAGAATATATCAAGGCGAGACTATAATTCTTACAGATCTTAATTCTTAAAACGTCTCAATCTTGTTTTCCTAAAAGTACTTGGACTGTTGAGAAAATAGACTTTTATGAAGTACAGTTGTTTACAGCTTTTCTCCTCACCTTTTCA